GGGATGGGAGCTGATGTAGAGCATCAAACCCTGGGAGCCATTAGCAGGAAATGCCTGTTTTTAATGGATGTATTTTCTCTTTCCCTCCTCCTCCCTTTCCCAAGTGAAGGCTTTCTTGGTTTCATAGCTCTGCGTGGCGCTTGTTCAGCATCGTAACCTCGTTAGGGAGCAGTGATTATCTGAGCCAGTTGCAGATCTGGCACGATAGATCTAAGAGAACAAACTTGGGCTGACCAAATTTTAGGTCGTCCGAGCTATTACCAGCGGTATACATTTTCACATCAGGACTCGAATTTCTTCAAAAGACAGAACTGTTCATGAATATTTACTAAAATATGTATTTTCTGCCTGCTGGTTTCCATGCCTTTAAAGCCGTGCTTTCGTTGTCCTTTGCAACAAGTAGAAAAACTTTGTTTCTTTAGCAAAGGCTGAGATTGTCATATGATCCCTTAAGTAATACCTTGGGGTTAAAGCATAACCAAAATGGCAAATAACAAAAATAGATACTGGGCTTGTGAAGTTGCAGGATTGAGCTATGGGTTTGCAATACATTCACAGGGGCTCAGGGATTAATATAGTTAATTTAGATACTTATCTTTTTTTATAGTCGTGTAGTTGAAACCTTGACTCTCGGTGCAGTCACTATTTCCAATATTTTACTAGTTCAAGAGCTTTAGGGCTGCGTGCTGTGGAGACAGCCAGGCAAAGGGAGGCAGGGAGTTTAAGTTGTGTTTGGAAGAGGAAATAACTAATCTGAAAACTGGGCTGGACAAAGGTGGTGTCAGCAGTGTTTGTGGGGTTTTTTAGTATGTTTTTTTTTCCCCTCTTTCAGTTTTTTACCATCTCCTTTTTTTCTCGTTTGCTTGTTCTTTCTGAAGTTTTCCTTTACTGCTGAGTGTTTTTTAATGAGCTTTTCCTCCTTGCTGCTGTTGCCCAGGCAGACTGAGCTGGACAAAGCCGGAGCAGCACCTTCACTCCGCCAATATACAGGTGGCCATGCCAGCTCCTGGCTGCCCGGGTGGCAGGTTTGGGTCCTGGGGGTCTTTGTGGGGAGCTGGGGCTGATGGGGAGACCTTATAGCAGGAGGGGAGGAGGAACAGAGTGTTCTCTTCTCCAGGTTTGTTTTTCCTTTCCTTTTATATTATTTTTTTTGTCTTTGACAAACTGCCTAATTGCTCACCTGGATGGCAACTGCCAAATGCTGAACTTTTGTTTATTAGGGACTTCATCCCGTAATTTCCACCCTTCTGCAATTAGCAGAGCGTCTTTTGAGTTCTCCCTCTGTCCTTCCCGAAATTGCAGCCTCCAAAGCTGATGATATCAGCGAGTTCTCCGACCCATCATCGTTGGTGCAGGCAGTGAGTGGCACTGGCCAGACAGCACCTTCATGGCGCAGCCCCTTTCTGTTCTGCTGCTGAATGGCGGGTCACGGCACTTGGCACATGGGTTTGTGCCCGGCCCCTTGCAGATTAGTCCAGTTTCATTCCTCCCCTTGCCCATGTGTTATGGTTTGAGAAAACCCTTAACAACCTCTTGTTGTTTAGACAATTATTCTATCACCCAATGACCCCTCCCCACCCGGAAAAGGGGAATCGGGGAACACAAAGAAACAAAGGGTTGAAATATAAATAGATTTAATAGACTAAGACTAAATAATTAAAATAATACTAAAGAACCAGTATTAATCCCAATACTGATACAAGATGTACAAGAATTATACTCAGACCATCCTGTCAGGGGGAAGCCGTGCGCTCCCAGCAGGGACAGCAAATGGCGGACACTGCCAGCGCAATGGCCTCAGGAGGAAGGGAAGGCCTCAGGGGTCCGGCACCGGGGCAAGGGGTTGTCTGGACCCGCTGCCATCAAGGGAGAGAGAGCTATGAAGCAAACTTTTCTAATTTGTATTGACTGTGATGTTCATGGTATGAAATAATCCCTGTTGGCCAGACTGGGTCAAAGGCCCAGGCCTTGCTCCTCCTTGTCCCTGGGCCTGGCAAGGCTCGAAAACACTACAACCTTGAATCCCACAGAGCCTGGCTGGCTATGAAGTAAATATTTTCACCAATTCAGACACTAGAGTCTTCTAAAAGTGCAATTTTTCCCAGCATTAGAAGAGAAGTTAGTCCTGTGTCTCTCAACCCAGGACACTATGGCAATACTGGCAGTATCCACATGGAAGCTCTGGGTGAGGGATTAAACAGCTCTTATGGAGCAGAGCCCAATAAAACAATTTACAGAAGCGTTCCAAGGGACATGGTACGTCCCAGCTTTCTGGCTGGTCCCTGGGCTACCCTCTCCGCCCAGGGCTGGCTTTGCCCTGTGCCCCTTGGCTCTGTGGCAACCAGCCATGTTGGAGATGCTTGCCCAGGTTTGAGGGGTTCTGGCAGGGCCATGGGCAAATCACATTTTCCTTCTCAAGCCCATAATCTGGCTCTAATTTCAAAGTGGCTTTAATCTCCAGGATAGGGAACTGCTGGAGAGGGGACAGCAGAGGACTACAAAGATGATGAGGGGCCTGGAGCATCTCCCTTACTGGGAGAGGCTGAGGGACTTGGGTCTGGAGAAGAGAAGGCTGAGGGGGAATCCGATCAATTCTTAAAAATACTTAAAGGGTGGGTGTCAAGAGGATGGGGCCAGTCTTTTTTCAGTGGTGCCCAGGGACAGGACAAGAGGAAATGGGCACAAACTTGAACATAAAGAAGTTCCACCTGAACATGAGGAGGAAATTCTTTACTTTGAGCCCTAGAACAGGCTGCCCAGGGAGGTGGTGGAGTCTCCTTCTCTGGAGACGTTTAAAAACCCCCTGGACGTGCTCCTGTGCAACCTGCTCTGGGTGGACCTGCTTTGGCAGGGGGGTTGGACTAGATGATCTCCAGAGGTCCCTTCCAGCCCCATGTGATTCTGTGGAGGAATCTTGCTGCTGGGACTGACTCGGGTTCAACTGAGTTTGGGCTCTGCTTTATCGCAGGCTTGTCAGTGCCAGCTGTGAAAACAGATTTAGCTTTAAAAAAAAAAATCCTGAGTTATGCAGCCCTGCTGTGGTCCTTAGCAAATTATCATTGCATACTAGTTAATTGTTTATCCATTAACTGACTGCGTCAATTATCTGACAAGGGGAGCCCGGCAGTACCTGGCACGGCGGGGAGAGGAGGAGGAGGGAGGATGCACATCCTTTCTGTGTTGGCTCCTCTCCACGTGCTTCTCCTCCAGCCCTGTCGATGTGGTATTTCTCTGCTGGTTTCCTTCACATGTAATTGCTGGCAGGGCACGTACAGAGTACGGACAGACCTCTTCTTCGGGCAAGTGCCTTAAATTCCCATGCAGCAGGAGTGTCTCTTCAGACTGAAAAAATAATGAACTGTCTTTTGTTTCTGAATGTGAATACAGACAGAAGAAACACGAGGCAAGATGTTGCTTTATTTCCTGCTAGAGATGGCCAGAGAAATTATTTGCCTGGAGTTCCAAGTGGGAAATAAATAGGATTTTATTGTACACAACGGTGCAGAGCAGGAAAGTGCGGCCACCCGGTGTGGGGCAGCTTGGGGCTCCCCCCTACCACCCCTGGGGTTATTTGGGAAAGCCTCCTTCCTGGGAATGCTATTTCTCTATCCCTGCTTTGTAGAGAAATCCTTTTTTCCTTTTTTTTTTTTTACGTGCCAGTCCAGCAAACCTCCAGCCACCAACACCCTGGGAGCCCTCGCTCCCAAGATGAAGCTGTTGATTCTGCATGTACTTTGGTATAAGAGAAGAGATTGACCCAGTTTTTCTTGATTCAAGTCTGTGTGCAAAAGGATTTTACTCTTTTTTTTTTTTTTTTTTTGTTTCTTTTTTTTTTTTCCTGGAGGCAGCTGATTTTAACGTGGTTTTGGGCTTATATGATATCAGCCCTATGCAGTAGTAAAATTATGTGCTTGTTTCAAGAGGAAACAATAATAACGTTCTTTCAAAAGCAGCTACACACATGAATTATTAAAAAGTTAAATTATTTCCAAATTACGACATGTCCAGCTCTTTCTGTGGAGCTCACTCAAGAATAATTGCGCAGTGCTCTTTGCAGAATTTAACATCAGAAATGTTGCACTTTTTCCTTTTAAAAAAAATAATAAAAATCATTCTGTCATACAATGTCACAGCTTCCATGAATATAAACGGGCATCCTTGTGTTGGATTCTGTAAAATGTTGCCTGTTTGTCCCATCTGTGTTTTCTCAGCGTAGTTGTCGAGCTATGACATTTATTGCAGAGCAGAACAAAGATTGAAGGGACTTTTCATCAGCAGCTGTAGCTTGGCTGTCAGCAGGGACTGGCAGCCTGGTCTGCAGCCCCACAGCGAGTTGCGGAGCCTGGAGGAGGAGGATGAGGAGGAAGAAGATGCTTTGCAAATACTCAAATGTGCTGAAAGCTTGCACCGGTGTTAGTGGACATGCCTCACATCTTGGGTGTTTTGGGGTTTTGTGAGGTTTTAAAATTTTTGAATTTTATTTTTCATTTTTAAAATTTCTTTTTTAAATTTTTGATTTATTTTTTTTTTTAAATTAACGTTTTAAAATTTTCTTTTACTTCCTCCTTCCCCATTTTTGTCCTGACTCAGGCTCTTGGTATGGGTGGGTGGGGATGAAGTGCTGTAGTCGTCAGTGCCCAAACATCTCCAAGTGCCACTGAGCAGGCAACAGCCTTCCTGCTGTCCCCGTCACGAAGGGGCAGTGGACTGGTCTCCTGCGGCCCCTCCTGGGCTGTAGAAGAGGTGTGAGCTCCCTGGGGGGCTGTTGGAAGGGTGAGGACGAGCTGCATCCTCTACCCATCTTGCTCCCAGGCTTTCTGTGGGCATTTGGGGTGCCCCTGATCCCACAGATGGGAGTTCTCCTGACTGTGGGATGGATGTGGCTAAGGGTCTGGAGGGAAGAGGGGACCACAGTCTGCTGGGGGTTTCCCTCAGCCCTGCCTGTGCTGAGGTGTTTGTGGAGGGGGGAGATGACAGCCTTGCTCCTTTCTCTTCCCCAGCCCCCTGTGGCTCTGGTGTGTGAGTCCCTGAGATGTCACTGAGAACCGAAAGCCATGCAGCTACGTCGACGCTGAAGAAGATCGCTGCAGACATGAGCAACATCATCGAGAGCCTGGACACCAGGGAGCTCCACTTCGAGGGGGAGGAGGTCGACTCGGAGGTGCTAAATGACCCAAAAGGTGCCGGTGAGTTAACACCTGTGTGTTCATCGAATCACAGAATTGCCTGGGTTGAAAGGGAACTTTCAGATCATTGAGTCCAACCATCGACCTAACGCTGACAGAAAACATCACTAAACAATATTCCTCAGACGTCTACCCATCTTTTAAATACCTCCAGGGATGGCAACTCCACCACCCCCCTGGGCAGCCTGTTCCAATGCTTGATAACCCTCTCAGTGTAAAAATTTTTCCTAAATATCTAATCTAAACCTCTCTTGGTGCAACTTGAGGCACCAACATTTCCTCTTGTCCTATCACCTTTTACTTGGGAGAACAGGCTGACCCTCACCTTGCTACAACCTCCTTTCAGGAGGTTCTCACCCCATGTCCCGCCTGGATTTAATAACAAATAATCCGTTGACAGGGAAAACATCAGTGGTTTTACCAAGCCCATGTGTTGACCCTGGTTTAGGACCAGGAAGCATTACTCTTACACTTGAGCTCTTCAAGCCAAGTCCCTTGAAAGCTTGTTGTTAAGCTCTCTTAAATAAAACCTGGTGTATTTTACTGCAATTAATGCTGCTGTGTAAATGCTCCCGTGTTAAAGTATGGCAACTACCTGCTGGCTTTCATGCCCTCGTTAATGGCTACAAGGCTGTTGAACTAATGGGGTTTGTGGTCCTTCCAGCGTGCATTCCCTTCTCTGCCATCTACCACACCTGTGGGTTCAAGGAGCCGGGCACGCAGACATACCTCACGGGATGTCCCATCCGAGTGCGTGTGTTGGAAGTGGAACGCTTTACTTCCACGAAGAAGGTCAGAACTTCCAGAAATTTCATTTCCTTTCCACGGAACTGTATTAAAATGCTGTTTGTAGGCTAATTTTGCGTGTGCTTGTTTGTGAGCTGGGGAAGCAGGAATGCCTGTGTCTCAGAAAAAGGCTCAAGAGAGAAGGCTTCTTGTCTGTTTATAAAACCTAATAAAGCAGAACAAGAAATTGTGAGGTGGAATGGTCCTTAAGTAAAATTGAATGAGGGCTCTTTAGATGAGCAGCTGCTGGAAAATGACTTCTGTCAAAGCTTCACCCCTCGTGGTGGTGTTCTCCTGCGCAGGTACCAAGCCCCAACGTTTACACCATCGAGCTGACCCATGGCGAGTTCACCTGGCAGGTGAAAAGGAAGTTCAAGCACTTCCAGGAGTTTCACAGGGAGCTGCTGAGGTACAAAGCCTTCGTGCGCATCCCTATCCCTACCAGGAGGTGAGTGTGTAGCCCCACGGATGTGGTGGGCTTTGGGATGATGTGATCTTTTCTCTTTTAATAACGTCTTGGTTTGGCTTCACCAGTCCCATTTAGTTTGCTGTAAGGAGGAGAGGGCAGAAGAATTTAGTCTCTACAAATATTTAGCAGCTATAATAAAAATACATCATCTCTACCTATTCAGCAGCTATAACCTAAGCAGTGTGAGCATCTCTCTACTGACCTAGGAAGCATGTTGGGTCCCAGGGCATCAGCTTTTGAGCAGAATTTGCCTTGAACTTGGAGAAGGGTTATGCTAATGCTAAAACTAATGGAAATGGTTGGTGCTGTGCAGCTGTCTGCTGGCATGGGCTGGATGTGGGAGGCATGGGGGTCTCCAGGTGGTCAGCCCTGCCTGGGGTGGCTGGAAGTGTAAGGGAAGCCATGGGAAGAGACGTGGTGTGGTTGGGTAAGAGCATCCTGCTGTGGGGATAAAGGGAAGGGTGAAATTATGAGGGGTTAAGAGCTGGGGCGAACATAATGCCCTAAAAATAGACTTTAGGTTCCCTTTGTGTGGTTGGGTAAGAGCATCCTGCTGTGGGGATAAAGGGAAGGGTGAAATTATGAGGGGTTAAGAGCTGGGGGAACATAATGCCCTAAAAATAGAGTTTAGGTTCCCTTTCCTTAAAATGGTAAAAGGAGACCCTGAAATGTTAAGCTGTGATGTTTCTGGGTTGTATTTTTATTTGTGAGCCAGTTGGAGCATACTGGCTTCTTTTAAATGAATCCACACTTCCTTTTTTTTTTTCCTTTGGCTTCCCTGCCCACCCATCTCTCAGTTTTTAAGAATTTGGATGGGGAAAAATAAAAGCCTCTCAGAAGAAAGGTAGCGTATGGAGGCATGCGCGCACTCAACGGCACGACATTGGGGTTTTGTTGTTTTTTTCCTTCCAGCCACACGGTGAGAAGACAATCCATCAAAAGGGGAGAGCCGAGGCAGATGCCGAGTCTGCCGCACACGGCGGAGAGCACGGTGCGGGAAGAGCACTTCTCCAGCAGGAGGGTAAGCACCCGCCTCGCTCTGTGTGGGGGCTGGAGAGATGCTTTGGGGGATCTTCTGAGGTGCAGAGATGCCAGGCATGTTGCATGCAAAGCCACACACTACCAAAGCTCTTATTTTATTACCGTTAAAGTCTTTTGCTTGACAAACTTAACTTTGACAAGTCCACACACTTAACGCCAAATTCGCCTCCAGGCAAAAAGGGTGCTGCTTCTCCCAGGGTTTATACTGGTGAGGTTCCTCTCTGCAGTTGAGGAAAACCATGATGCCCAGGGTGGCAGGTCCCCTCCTCCCACCTGCTGTGTTTTAAAGATAAAAGAAGCAGTTTGCAGAGTCAAGTTGCGTGATGGAGGCAGCCACCGCGGCCATCAAAACCTGAGAGATTTCAGTCCTGTCCTCCCCTGAAAGAGGAGATGACAGTCAGGCTCTTGATGCTGAAATGGGTAATTTTAGCTGAGGCACACGTGTTCCGTGTAACTTCATCAGATGTTAACAGATGGGCCCTTCCATGAAGAGGGTGGATGTCTTCCTACCTCTTCATTGCAGCTTCTTGAAAAAAGAGAAAAGCCACTAAAAAACAACAAGAGTCTGTAAAAAAAAAAAACATGAACAACCCGTGTTGGTTCACCCTGTGCTTATCGTTTTTTCTGCTGCTGAAGTCTCTGGTCCCAGAAGGTTGTGCCTTGTGGCTGTGCAGTGCAGATAACCCTCCCTGCTGTGCGTGGCTTCGTTGCTGCCCGGAAAGTTTCAGGAGAGATGTTGGTTTAAAAGAGGAAGAAAAATGTTTTCTACATCCCTTTCACCCCTCACCTTGGGTTCCTTGTGGGAAGCCCACAGCGTTCACCATAGGGATGTATCCCCTCTCCTGCCCCCCTAGGTAGCTCCGTTCTGTGATGCTAACACTGAGAAGGACAAAGGTCCTGATGGCATTTGTTTCTTCTCGGCTTTTGTCCTGTGGAACTCTGCCCAGTTTCCTGTGCCCAAACAGCTTCATCTCTTCTTTGCCTAGTTACCATGAGGATGGGAAGAGAACATCTCTCCTGTAATGGTTTCTTCTCTTCTCCCCTCCTGGCTGGGGAGGACAGGCTCTCCAGCGACCGGTCACCCAGCCGCTGCCCTCCCCATGGCTTTGGGACAGGGCAGCATGGCCACCATGCTCTTCATGCCATTAAGTTGGTGTTGTGGTGAAGTAGGCTCTCCCGGTTGCATCTGAGCCTGTGTTTTCTCACAAAGCTAGCTCGTGTGGGTCAAAAACAGTGGGGACTGATGTTGTATTTAAAGACATTCTGAAACTTGGGCTTCATCAAGAAAGTTGACCTCTAAAATGACAGCGCTGAGGAACAGGTCTTCTGGTGGAAGGTACAAACACGGATCTGTGAATAGTAAACAACCTGTGATCGAACTGTTTGATGCTGCTGAGCTATAATCTTCTGTGACCACATAATAATGTGTTTATCCATTCAAGCTGAGAAGTGTCAGATTTCTTGATTGCTTTCTGCTGAGCTATAATCTTCTGTGACCACATAATAATGTGTTTATCCATTCAAGCTGAAAAGTCTGATTTCTTGATTGCTTCCTAATGCCAGACAGTTGGATTGTGGGGGCTTTTTCTTGAAAATTCCTGCATCTTATCTAAAATTTCAATGTTCTAATTGTAGAAACAGCTGGAAGACTACTTGACAAAGATCCTAAAAATGCCGATGTACAGGAACTACCATGGAACAGTAAGTAGAAATTAGCTTGCTTAAATGCCAAAGAATAAATCGCTTTTAAAAACGTTGATTTTATTGGAAGGCATGTAGCTTATATAAGAAACATTTTACAGCTGTTTTGCAAGTGTTTTGGCTTAGCTGATTTCTCCAACATGGGTGTAATATGATTAAAAGGAGGAGAGTGAATGGCTCACTCTGGGAGGTCACTATTATAACACAGTAATGACCTCCTCAAGGTAGTCCAGTCCGTGGAGTGGGTTTTTGTTTAATTCTGGGAAGTGTTTAAGATGATAAGTTGAAATTTTAAATACTTAAAGCACTGGACTCGAAACCATTGCCCTTCAGTCCGGCCTTTGTGTGTGATCCTGGGTGCAAATTCATCTCAGTTTCCTATTCTGTGCAATTTCACTGCAGTTTGGTGTTGTTGAGTCTGTATGAGTGAGGCCCATTCGCCTCTGCAGGTATTTTGTTGCTTCCAAAGGTAATTGGCTTATTTCCCCAAGTCGATAGTCTTTTTGAAATGAGGAGAGATGTCAAATCCAACTTCAGGCCTATTTTAAGCAAAAATATTCCCTTTGAAAGGCATCCTCAAATGTTTCTTCAGTAGTCCTCACCTGTCAGCCGCAGCTGTAACATCTCCCTGGGATGGTAATTTATTTCCCCTTTTCTTGGCTGCATAATGACAGTCTTACTCTGTCTTTTGTATTACCAGCAAAACCTGATGCGTGCATCGAGTAGCTGCAGAGCTTAGTGATACTTCTGAGCAAGGGCTGGTAACTGGGAACACTTGGTTTTCAAACAAGAAATGTAGACTAAACTTAGGGTATCTGTAGCAGCCAGTTCTTCTCTTCAACTCTTCTTGTTGTTTGGTAGGAATTCAGCTCTTTTGCAGGATTTCCGTTGTGTTGGGTAGCTCATAGCTGGGTGTCGTGCCCAAAATCAGTGTGTGCTGCTGTTGCAGAGCTGGCTGTGTTGAGCCCCATGTGTTACATGGGGAAAAGTGCCCAAGCGGTGGCCATCGTGCTTTGGGTTGGCCATCATGCTTGGGGTTGCAAGAAGTCAGGGGGACCTCATCACTCTCTACAACTACTTGATAGGACACTGTAGAGAGGTTGGTGCTGGTCTCTTCTCACAGGTAATTAATGACAGAACGAGAGGGAATGGCTTCAAGCTCCAACAGGGTAGGTTTAGACTGAACATTAGGAAAGAATTTTTCACAGAAAGAGTGGTCGGGCATTGGAAGAGGCTGCCCAGGGAGGTGGTTGAGTCACCATCCCTGGATGTGTTTAAGAGCCGGTTAGATGTAGTGTTGGGGGATATGGTGTAGGGGAGGACTTTGTAGAGTAGGGTAGATGGTTGGACTCGATGATCCCAAGGGTCTCTTCCAACCTAGATGATTCTATGATTCTAAGTCCAGATCTGGGCTGAGAGGACTTGCGTTTCTTAGGGTCCTTCTTCTGGGGGCAGGATGAGGAGATTAAAGTCCTCTGCAGTCAAGAGCAGTGTTAGTCTGCGTGTGGGAAATAGTCATCTTTTGTTCTAGAGGCAAAATCGGGATAACTTGGCAATTTTGATCAGTAGCATATGCGAAGCGGGGGAGAGTTACTTTACAGTGTGGATCCATCTTGTCACTTTTAGGCAGGCATTGCTGCTTTTTTCCTTTTTTCTTTTTTTTTAAAATATTTTGGAGAATTTCTGCTCATGTAAGAAGGTGGGTGATCTTTTGACCAGGCTGCTGGGTGGCCGAGGCGAGGAGACGCGCGGTCCTGCCTTGCCCGGGCAGCTGTGGGGTTCTCCCCTCCTCCTGCGCTGAATCACCCTTCTGTCCCTGGAGCCAGATGTCACTTTGCACATAAATTCTCAGTTTGTTGTTGGCTCTCGCTGGGTTTGGCCGCAGTGAAGTGTTCAGTGAGTACTTTGCAGCTAATGGTGGCGGTGCCGCTAAGTGCAGCGGGTTAAATTCTCAGTTTGTTGTTGGCTCTCGCTGGGTTTGGCCGCAGCAAAGTGTTCAGTGAGTACTAGCGGTGCCGCTAAGTGCAGCGGGTCCTGCAGGCCATGCTGGAAGAAAGCACAGGGAGAAAAATGCTTCCCTTAAAACAATCCGCCTCCATTCTCAGGCCAGAGACTAAAGTGAAGGTTTCTGGCATTTTCCTTGGAACTGTGTTTGTTCTCCTTGGAACAAAATGAGGGCCTTGCTCTTCCTGTGGTTGAGATATCTTTTGCCTGGACGCTGAAAAATGCTGTAACTATCTTAATTTTGGAGGATGTTTTGACTCCTGCGTGTTCCTCTCGTCAAGTTCATGCATGGAGGTGATTTTCAAAATCCTAAATTCTTTGTGAAGTCAGACATGGAGTTATAATGGCAAGGTGTGACCTGCCCGATGAGTAACCCTCTGTCCTCATGAAGAGCCTGCTTGGGTCAATTGCGTCTTCTCAGAGGTGTTTTTACATCTGGCCTGCACAATTTAATTAATTTGCCTTTTTTTTTTTTTTTTTTTACTACTTTTATTTTGCGTTTGTGGTTAATTTGTCAGTGAGGGGAATCACAGTGTCCTGAGGATGTGCCATGCACTGGGAGACTTTGTGACAGTTTTGCAGACCTGAAGTCTCTGGTGGGTTGAGGGTCAGGTCCATGGTGACAACAGGATGGTCACCATGACCATCTGTGACAAAATTACAAAAAATTACAAAAAAAAAAAAATTACAAAAAAAATATTACAAAATCTGTAGCTCTGACAAAATTTACAGCCTTCTCACATTTCCCTTAATTTTTCAGCTTTTGTTCTAGCAGAGCATTTTGTGTGGAGTCCAGAAATAGGTCGGGGGATGCATTGGATTTTGTGATCAGACCCCAGGCTTTGTAGCCTTTCATAATTGGATTTTTTTCTCCCTTTTGGCAGCGTGACTTATGATTAAATCTCACATCTTCTAGTCCTTTCCAAAGCCCTTTTTTTATAGTACTTCTGGGTTGAAATGCTTCAAGACAATTACCATTAAAATGAATGTTGTGGGAATCTCAGTGTGTTAATTGTCCACACTTTTTTTTCTGGGAAGTGGAGATTGGGGTAATATAGCCCCAGACCATTAGGAAGCAGGGCCCATGGGCTTAACTGTATTCCATATAAAAAAAAAAATTATTAATTGAGCCTTTGCATTTTTTTTTTTTTTTTATGAGCTGTAATAGTTGAAAGATGCATAAGCAAAATGAAAATTAAGATTTGGTTGAACCGTAGTGCATGTGCCTGTAACAACTTGCATGAGCTTGAGTAGGGGAGTGTAAAAACCTCACCTTAAGTGAAAGGGGTCCAACATTAAGAAGAACTCAGATATGTGAGAGTGGCTGTTTTGCCTCTGATATGGCACTTGGACCTGCAGACCTTTGCAAAGGTCCCCACCCAACCCTTCAGTATTTTCAGTTATTGCACTTGAACTTTAGCATGTTTAATTTTTTTTTTTTTTTGGGTTAAGTATAAGCTAGTTTCTTGTGTAAGAAACAGCTGGTATCTTTTGCTGAACAATATTATTTCGAAGAGTGGTGTAATTTCATTTTATTGCTAGCCACAGCTGCTGATCAACTCCATGGGTTGTTTTTTTAACCCATTAAATTAAAAAACAAGCATCGGAATGAAAACGCAGCGACCTGCTCTGGGTGGACCTGCTTTGGCAGGGGGGGCTGGACTAGATGATCTCCAGAGGTCCCTTCCAGCCCCGTATCATTCTGTGATTCTGTAATTCTTTCTGAGATGCTCTATAAAATTTTTTCTTACATAAATCATGCGTGGTCGACATTGCTGGCGGAACGGGGTCATTTTACACCGTGGCTCCTGCACCTTGCAGCTGGTTCTCCACCTTCCGTAGCTTGTCTTTCCACAGCTGGTCACTCCCATCTCGTTTTGTGTGTATATATATATTATTTTTTTCTCTTTATCGCTACAACAATGTCATTGAAACTGCATTCTCTAGGCCGGTGTCTCATACTTAAAATATTCCACTGTGGATGGCTCTGAAACCGGAGTGGGATGCCGGCTCCCCGGGGAGGCAGCTGGGCAGCGCAGGAATTCCGATGTGAAGGGGATGAGAGCATCTCCCTGCTCTGCCTTCCCCTCTCAGGTCTCCTGCGAATGATGAGCACCTCGGATGAAAGGCACTGTAAGGGTAAAAATAGCTAGCGCAGCAATAATAATAATAATCAATCATCCCATCAGATATTTTCCACTGCACTGAGGAATCTCCTCCGAGCTGCCGGAATTTATTTTTTTCTTAATTTTTTTTACACACCAACATTCCTAATTGGTGTTGCTTGATGAACACTTGAGGAACTGCTGGAGAGGGGACAGCAGAGGGCTACAAAGATGCTGAGGGGCCTGGAGCACCTCCCTTACTGAGAGAGCCTGATGGACTTGGGTCTTTTTAGTCGGGAGAAGAGAAGGCTGAAGGGGGATCTGATCAACACCCATAAATACTTACTTTTATGCAAAAATAAGTGAAAAGTGCCTGGGTGCAGGCAAGTCTCCACCGTGCAAGGCAGCTCCATCGCAGAGCTTCTCCTGCCAGAGACCTGTCCTGCATGAGACACCCACAGCAAGCGTTTCTCCCTGCTAATGGGGCCCAGGGCTCAATAACGAGCAGACTGTTAGGAATGTCCTGCTGTGCCAAGAAAAGCCTGCTCGGTCAAAATCGCCCGGTGTCCTATTTTTAGAGGTGAACGTAATCGTGGCTGTGCTTTCTCACTGGCTTTGGGTGTTGTTACGTTCCTCTGCAATCTCTGCTGAAGCAGGAGGAGCTGCGAGGAGGCAGCTTGCTTCAATTTGAGATTTGCTGGTGAACTTGGTGGTACGGAAACGTGGGTTTCCCCAGCCTGCGCCTGCCACAGGGCTCCATCAGGGCTGACCCTGCTGCAGACCAGCAGAAGTCATGGAAGTCATGCTTGGTCTCACTCTCCTCCTGCCCCAGTGTGGCTTTTCTGTGGATTTTCGGCTCCCAGGGTCAAGATGGGGCCGTGGATGTGGGGCAGGAGTGTGTGCAGCGTTGAGTGGAAGCGACCTACTGTGATGGTCTTGGAGGATGCTCATGGATTGAGGGGCTGAACCCTCATGTGGTGTGTGGCCATGGGGTAGGGGGTCTCAAAGGGAATAGGATGGTCTCGGCCTTGGGGACATGTGCTTGTTCCCTCTCCAGCCCTTCTGTGAGGGTCACTGGAGGAAGGAGAGGGTTCAGGCAGCCGGCCGAGTTCACACAGGCCCCCAAACTTGAGCCCTTATTTCAGCCAGTGATGCAGGAGGGAGGATACTGGTGGGTCCCTATGATACTTGATTGTTCTCTTTGCCTCAAATGGGTTTTCCAAACCACACTTAAAATAAATAAGGAAACAAACAAAAAGCCCAACCAAACTACTTTCTTGGTCTTCTTGAAGGTGCTTAAGAAATGGCAGGTAACTTCTGCTGCGGATCTTCTGTAGGTTCTGTCTTTATGACAAGTCGCTTCAATGAAGCAAAGTTTTGTGGTTTGTTTTTTTTTTGTGGATTTCAGAATATGAAAGATGGAGGAATCTTTTATTCTTTCCCCAGATGGAGTTCATTGGAGTGAGCCAGCTGTCGTTCATCCATGACCTGGGACCAAAGGGCATGTGAGTTGTGAGCTGTGTCTTTGTGAGTTGTGATTCACCAAGAGCGTGGTTTTATAAAGAAATATTGTTCAAATTGATGGCTTTACTTTCTCATGGATAACTGAGTGGAGAGTATTTTGCTGGGTGTAAGAATGTATTAATGCTGAGACAGAGGCACTGGAACTTTGGGAAATAGTCTTGGGAATGGGCTGCAGGCCATCAGCTGGCTCATGAGTTTTCTCCCCTTCTCTCCCCACAGCCTATCAACCTACTTGTTCTCCTGCTTGTGCTATAAATCAGGGCCCTGCATTTCCTAAATCTGCATGATTTCCATCTGGGGGTGGGGGTGTATTTTTACCCTTTTTGCAGCTTTCAGGGCAGTGGCGCAGAGGTTGCTTGAGCACAGCTGGGGGTGGCAGGAGCCATCTCTGGGGGGTTCAGCAAGCATAGTCTACCTGAGAGCCCCACCTGCACCTCCAGGTGAGCCATGCCACCCATCCTGACCGTTTTTCTGTCCTTGTAGAGAAGGGTTGATCATGAAGCGCTCCGGGGGCCACCGCATACCCGGCCTGAACTGCTGCGGCCAAGGAAGGATGTGCTACCGATGGTCCAAAAGGTACTTCTGGGGCGGGCGAAGGTGGCGATGATGTGGGCTCCTTGGGCACACATGCAAAAATCCTCATTTGTTTTTTTTCTCCCCAAAAAGTCTGAAAGGGAGATTCCTATTTTTTTACAAAAGCCACGTATTTTCAGGTTAAAAGGGTCCGTAGGCTATTCCCCCCTCGCCCTCCTGTGTGGAGAACAGTGAGGTTTTTTCTTTTACTTCGGGGTTCATAGAAAGGATGTGTTGCTCCAGAGGAAAACTGGGATTTCCTACAGCCCTGAGCTGGCAGAAATGGCAATAAACCCCTGGTTGGTGCCCAGCTTTCCCTGCTGCGGGAAGGGGGAGCCCCCCAGGAGATGACGTGGCTGGTGACGCTGCCCCGGCCAGATTTCAGCACAGTTTTCTGAGCTTCCCTTCCTCAATTTACAAAAAGCAAATCTACTAATTAGCTACTTTGGACCTGGATTAAATCAGATGTGACCCACAGCAGTAAGGAGCTCTGGTGCAATTAACCTTGGAATTTAATATGTTGTCTCTTCCTTATTACTGCACGTGTTTAAATGCCAGTGTTTTCATGGGAGTTTTCACAACTCCCGTGTCCTTTCTTGCAGCAGACTGGTGTAACTTACTGTCCCCATCCCTTTACCTTCAGCATTAGATCTCGGTGTATCCCAGGGCTGCAGCACAGGGAGGTGTGTGCTACGGAAGAATATGTGTGTTATCAGCTGGCATCCAAAAAATGTAAGGGGTATTTCCTGGATCCTGCCCTTCCTGGGCAAATCTTTCCTTTTGAAAACCCAAATAGCACATATCTGCCTTCTAGCAACGATTTCTTGGTCTGTAAGAGCTTCTCCAAGCATTATCTGCCTTTGGATTTTAGCATTGCCAATGGGCAGTCATTAGTTCACCTTAAAAAATTCTGTTTTCCAACAAAGACTTTCTGCTTTCTTGTTAAGAAAAGGTCCTATTTCTTCATAGTCTTTCCAAAATTTCTTAATGTAATTTCACAGAAGTTCTCTATAATGAGTGCACAAGGAGATGAAGATGCGACCTTCTTCCAGGTCAAATCATTAAATTGTCTCCAATTCTTTTTTTCTCTTTTATGGTGAAAAAAAAGCCATTTCCTCTCAATGCCCCTCAGTTAACTCTTCCCTGTTATGCAGAGCTCAAGCTTTAGTGGGGACAGTAGAACATTCAGCTCTGATGGATCTTGATTTTCCTTTAGAGCCTAAAAAGGGGATGGGAGAAATGTTTGTGTGGGATTGTGTGCAGAGTAACACCAGAGGGTACCGAATCCCTGCTGGGACTGACAGTGTAAGCATCAATAAATAAGCAATTAACACTATTATTTCCCAGAGGGGGTTATTTAAGTGAAGGATTTTAGGACATATCAAGTGGGGGGCAAGACTGCCCCCGAGCACAGGGCAGACTGCATCCATCCTTTGCCCACAATGGCTTTGCCACAGGCACTGGGGTTTTATATCCCAAATTAATTTCATTTATCACAGTAAGTGGGGTGTGTTATGGCCATGGGGATGTGGAAACTGACATGGAGGAGGACAGTGGGGTGATGCTGTGGCTGGGCATGGGCAGGACTTCTCAGGCATGGAGAACTGCCTGGGAAAAACAGAAAGGGGAATGCTAGGAAATGTACTTTTTGAAGATATTTAGGAGTGAAATTATGGGCCAAATCATGGGGGGAGGGATTTTGGCACCAAATGAGAGGTGACGCTGGGATAACTCTTTCAGGGTCCTGAAAGAGAATAAATTATTATGGGATCTGGAAGTAGATCAAGAGCTGAGGCTGTTACTAAAGATACAGGAATGAACAGATTTTTTTTTGCGATATTTTCTGTTCCTTTGTGTGTTTCTGAATGCGCGGAAGAGTGACGTGGAGGTCTGGTGGTGGAGACCTGTGTAGGACAGAGGGGGCTGGTTACCCCAGCTACGCTGCAGGGGGAGAAAAAATTAGAAATGCCATTCACAGTAAAAAAAATGTGTTTTTTTTCTCCCAGAGTTGCCTTCAGGCTACGGTATTTATGTAAAACCTGCCGGTCATCTCTCATCATGTGTTTCTAACAGTGTGCCTGTTGCTTGGCAATAAAAGATTTCCAAAGTGCCTCGTTCATATATTTTGATAGGAGTGAAAGTGATGTTAGCATTATAATTAATGTTAGAAATGTCAAGTAACTCCCTTGTTGCCTCTAGATATAGCATACAAGCTGAATAAAAATCTGGGGTGGAAGAGTCCTTGTTGCACCTTGCCTGGTGCTGGGGGACCTGGCTGGGAAGTTTGTGGACAAGGAGGTTCTCATTGATTTTGTTTGACATGAAAGCCTATATCTTCAAAGGCTTGTGTAAAAAGGAGTTATGCAAATAATGCTAAAAAGTCTTGTATTGAATTCAAACTTATTACCCAAGTTCATAAAATAGGCGCTTTGCTGTTAAATAAAAATGTCCCCTGGACCATACCCCTAAAAAGAAATTTTACCTTTCAGTTGAATGCTTTCCTTTCTCTGGGAAATGATTTGCACTTGTTTTGAAGGGAACAATTCTCCATTTTATTAGCTTTTTTTTTTTATGGCTCATGCTTTGAAGACCGACATGGGTGAAATACAAGTTATGTGGTTGCTGTGCCCGTGCAGGTGGCTGGTGGTGAAGGACTCTTTCCTGCTGTACATGAAGCCAGACTCAGGGGCCATTGCCTTTGTCCTGCTGGTAGATAAGGAATTCAACATCAAGATTGGCCAGAAAGAAACAGAAACTAAATACGGGTTGCAGATCGACAATCTCTCTAGGTAAGAAATAGGATCTTTATTTAGATCTTTACTATTTCTTTGCTTTTGCTTTTTTTAAGGAGGAATCGATGCTGTGCTCTGGGTGTGGGGGGGTTAACAAGGGGTGCTGGGCTGCCCTGGTGCAGCTCAGCATCCTTTATACCTGCTGGGAATTTGGCCTGTGTAACGCTGATTATTTCCAATGTCTTAATGAGGCAGCCTCAGCTGCTGTTTGTCCATCCTTGCAGTTATTGCTGGGGCCTGGGGGCACGGTGAACGTGGAGTTGCACAGTCTGGTTTTGCAGCAATTGCTTACAGTCATTTATTAGGCACTCTGACCCTCTGTGCTACAAGCTGGAACGGGTTCCTCTGCATCCCAGCTGGAGCATTGCCCAAAAAACATGCTAGTTGGGATAAAGAGGTACTTCATATTTTTATAGTGGTGTACAGTATAAAATCATCTTTTAAAAAATACAGCATAAGCTGGGTCCAGCTCTCCTCCGAGTTAAGCTGATGCTATTAATTTAAATCTGCAGTATTTTTTTTATATATACTTGGCAGAGCAATACTGTGGTAGTCACTGGGATCAGTGCGGCGCTGGTTTATTCTTCTGCAAACAGAACAGCAGAGCAAAGACCCTCGCTATTCCTCGCTTCTTGCTTCAATAAAACATGAGTGATACAGGCGAGGAGCAGCCCAATTAAACACTTCAGCCTCCCACCCCCGTGCCGCCGTCTGTTTTACAGGTCGCTGATTTTGAAGTGTAACAGCTACAGACATGCCCAGTGGTGGAGGCAGGGCATCGACGAGTTCGTTCGGAAACACGGCAAGGACTTCCTCACGGAGCATCGCTTCGGCTCCTATGCAGCCGTGCAGGAGAACACCTTGGCCAAGTGGTGAGGACCACTTTTTTCAGTGATGCCCAGGGATTGGTGAGGACCACTTTTTTCAGTGATGCCCAAGGATTAGGATAAGAGGAAATGGGCACAAACTTGGATATAAGAAGTTCCACCTAAACATGAGGAGGAACTTCTTTACTTTGAGGGTGGCAGAGCCCTGGAACAGGCTGCCTAGAGAGGTGGTGGAGTCTCCTTCTCTGGAGACATCCAAGCAACCTGCTCTGGGTGGACCTGCTTTGGCAGGAGGTTGGACTAGATGATCTCCAGAGGTCCCTTCCAACCCCATGTGATTCTGTGACCGCAGTGGGGATGTGGCCGTATTGCAGTGCCTTGGGTGCTGTTATTGCCTGTGTTGGCCCCAGGTCTGATGGATGGAGCTGGTGGCATTCAGCAGCTGTAGGGACTGACAATAATTAAAAGAGTTGGGAAAAATGAGGCTTTCCTCACCGAGAGGAGAATAACGAGTGACAGGAGTGCTGTGATCCTGTTACAGCTGTGCATCGTTTTGAAACATCAAGTTTCATTTGAATTTGGACAGGTTGGGTATTTATTATTGTAATGATAAAAATAGTATTTTGTTGCATATATAATTGGCAGGGTGCTTAGGAGTTAAAAGCAGAACTGCTCTTTCGTTAAGGTATTCCTGGCTTCAATTTTATCCTGGTTTCTGACTCTGGAAATGCTGTTTCCTAAGGGTTTAGGTTTTTGGGCTCTGGATTGTAAGCCCATGGTAATGCAGGTGAAAACATCTGCCTCTGGCTACTCCCTTCTCCATAGCTCCCTCCCAAAGCAGCTCTGCTGCAGCCTGTCCTGCCCGTGCTCCTCTGCAACCAACTGATGGTCCGGTCACGTCCTTCGTGCTCTGAAATGCAAGATAAGTCCTGCCCACCACATTTGCAAGGCTGATTCTTCTTCTGTAAGGCAGCATTGCCCTTCCAGGCACCCTGGATGTGCTGGGATGCAAATATCACTCAGCTGGTTGAAAAGCAGATGAAATGAGAATCAGCAAATGCAAATTTGGGTATAGGGGCAAATTTGGGAGACGGGGCTTTATGCACACAGCGAGCCTCATGAGAAATCTTTCCCATCCATACTGTAATTTGCACTAAGCCATTTAATCTCCTTCTTTGGAGACATTCAAAACCCACCTGGACACGTTCCTGTGCAACCTGCTCTGGGTGGACCTGCTTTAGCAGGGGGGTTGGACTAGATGATCTCCAGAGGTCCCTTCCAACTCCATATCATTCTGTGATTCCCAGAAGCACCACGAAAAATTGATTCTAGCTGGAAGCAAACCCTTGCAGTGCTCTGGCTGCAGCTTCTGCCCTGCAGCAGCCGCTGCCCAAACGGTTTCTGTAAATCAAAGCAAACACCACTCCACCATCCTTCCCTGAGAGCCAAAACCAGCTCACACGTCGAGCAGAGCTCAAGAATAATGTGTGTGGTTGGCAGAAATACCAAGTGGCACTTAATGAAGCCGCACAATAAGAGATTATTAAGCTACTAATAGCAGCGTGACATTCCCTCTGCGTGTTGTCCTAATTCTCGAAATTTGGTATGTGTTTGCATTTGAGAAGAGAGTGTCAATGGCATTAACACCAAACCCCCCGTCAGCCTTCAGCTCTGGACTTGGTTTAAGGAAGAGGGAGGAAACTGAGGTCTTTGTGCTGTTTGTTTTTGCAGGTATGTAAACGCCAAGTCGTACTTTGAAGATGTGGCAAATGCCATGGAAGCAGCTAAGGAAGAGATTTTCATCACGGATTGGTGGTTAGTACTTGCACGTTCAGGGGTTGACTGGCCCTCTCCCTGGGGACGTTCCTGACAATGCGGCACTGTTGGGAGGCCCTACAGTATGGCAGCTAGCCCTGCGGCCAGATGGTTTGGCAGCACACCCAAACATCTCCTTGTGTTGTATTCAAAGGCCTTTTCAGGAGGGTTGGCAGCAAAAGCACGTGCTTGGAATCAGCAGCCTGGTTGCCTCCTTCCAAGGAAAGGCCTGGAATTGCCTGAGGGCACTACCTGAATTGCGAGTGTTGTGGCTTGAGTTGCTCATCAGGAGCGTAAAATCGCTGTAAACCCAAGGGGCAGGAATGGTTTTTGCTGTGTAAGGGAACATGGACACTCAAACACCTCTGAGAGTGCTCTTCCCATGTGAAGAAGTGCATAGGACCCTCCTTCCAGCTCCTCCTCACGGTTTTGGGAAGCCTCGTGCCAGCATTGAGGGCATCTTGGGGAGGGTGTGTGTGATTTTTGCTCTGCCCTTAAACTGGCCAGACAATGGAAGGGGAGTTTTATCACCTCAGGGCAGTTTTGTGGCTGGACGCCGGTTGCAGCGGCCCGTGTCTTGCCTTTGTGGGGATGAATGTGGCTGAGCCACCTTGGGGATGGGATGGTAGGGCAGGCTCCCAAGCCACAACTCAGACGTCCTCTTTAACCTTGGTCACCAATGGGATGGTAGGGCAGGCTCCCAAGCCACAGCTCAGATGTCCTCTTTAACCTTGGGCACGTCTCCGTGCTCCTCTTTCTCCATCTGTAAAATAAACCTCTTGCTACTAATCCACTGCCTGTAGGAACTGGGAGGATTAATTCTTAGGTGGTAATTATGAGAAAACTAAAGATGTTAGCATTTCCTGGGGTAAACCTGCTTCCAAACATGAGCACAGATAAACCCAATGCTCCTGGATCCCCACGTGCAGCATCGGGTAGCAACGCAAGAACACGGCATTTCAGACCCGTTGTCTCTTAACATTGTGTTCAGACCGTTCTTGAAACTGCAAAACTTATCTGAAACTCCAAGCTTCAGATAAAAACGCTGTTGTCAGAAGCATGTTTTTAGGATGTGGCAATATGCTTTCTCATCAAGCACAAGTTCTCATGCTCAGCACAAAAGTACAGGCATGAAATTCTGTCACCTTCCTTTGCAGGAGTTGGATGAGATTGCTTAATTATTCCGTGTAATCCTTAAAGCTATGAATCAATAAAATGTCTTGTTGAGAGATCATACTGCTTTGCCTTTAAGCAGCGAGGACAATTCAGCACAAATCTAGGCTACTCAGTACCGGGAGAACTGAAATGCCGCTCTTACTTATTTTTTATATCTACACATCTCTTTCAAATCTGCTCTGGGATTTTCTTTCGTTGCATCTTTCTTGCACAGATGGAGTCCAAGTTTCCCCATTTATACATCACTGTCAAATTTGGTCTCGTGGGTAGTTGAATACCGAGATGAATGTGCTGGACACATCCCCTGCCCTCTATAATGCTCCGTTATTAAAAAACAAAAGAGCTTGACGTTGGAGAGGGCATCACTCTGGGACGTGAGCCTTCATCCATTTTACATGAACTTTGATTTCTCTGCTTCCCAAGTTGATTATTTAGGCCAATGCTTTGTTTGCAGACTACAGATGCTGTGGGTTTTTTTCCACCCCTTTATTTTCTCAGGCTGAGCCCAGAAATCTTCATGAAGCGACCGGTTGTGGAAGGAAATCGCTGGCGGCTGGACTGTATCCTCAAGCGGAAAGCAGTAAGTGAGCTCCAGTTGCCTTCACCCTGCAGAGAACCCTGTGCAAAGCGGAAAGCAGTAAGTGAGCTCCAGTTGCAGCCTTCACCCTGCAGAGAACCCCATGTGCCCTTCCACTTACAGGGGCACGCTAGGACTGGGGTGTTTGCCCCATTTATTTTGGTAGGGATGAGAGTTAAAGCTGGCCAGGCCTCATTTCAGATGGCCTCAGAAAACTACGTGTTTTGATTCGCTCCCCCAGTTTGGGTTTTGAAGAGCTCAGAGGCAGAAGGGTAGACCTTCTGGTTTCTCCTTCAAGTTCTCAGGTTTGGGTCATCTCAGCTTTGCATTATGGCTGCCCCGGGTCTTTGTGGGGGGCAAAGAGCAGTTGTCTGGTGCTCTCCTTGTGGCGTATGTAATTTAGAGATGAGGGAAAGACTAAGCATGTTGTGGTGGCTCTTGGTAGGTGGTTTGTACATTGCTGCCTTGTGCAGATCCTGTCTGTCATTACCACATATTGTGTCTCTGTGCTGCGGCTTCCTGAGCTGAAGCTGTGAGAGGTCTCCTCGGTCTGCCAAGAACATCAGGATGTCGTTAGCAAAAAGTCACTCAGTACCATCCAGAGGTTCATGCTAACTCACAGTAGCCTTCTCATCTGGTTTTCCATACTTAATACATTGCACAGGTCTTTGCTACAACTAAACACCAAAGTTCTTGGTGTTCACCCATCATTCCTTGCTGTAGTGAAGAAGAGCCTGTTGATATTAAACATCCTGGTGTCTCCCAGCCCCATTACCCCTGGTGGAGCTGTTGTCTTGCTCAGACCAAGCTGCCCAGAGCTCTTCTTGCCGTAGCTCTTTTCCTAGTTGCTACCGTTGGTATGTAATGAGTTGTAGTGAAGCATAAGAAAGGTCAAAGCCTGAAAGGTTTTTATGGTTTATTGTTATGTTTATTTCCAAGGGTAACTTAAATCATTAGAAAGGACTTCATTTTTTTGGTCATTAGCTCTTACCACCTATATGTCTCCTGGTTTTCTTTCTTCCTACCCAGCCCTTTTTACATTCTCGTGGCTCTTGTGGCCACTAAGAGGAGGAAGATCTTACCTGTCCCTTCTCAGGTGGAGATGCTGGTCATGAAGGTCCTGGTGTGTTGTTGTGGAGAAGGGATGTGAGGGAAAGGGCTTCAGCAAAGCACGAATAAAAAAAAATAAATACAAACACGGGCCGCATCACATTCCCTGGAGCTGGGCTGTGGTGCTCAACGTGTGTGCAAGGAGGTGATAAACATGACTTGGGGACTTGGACTCCTATTTGCATTGCCATGTTACCTGAGTTAATAAATGCTCGTGTTCAGTAGGCAAATGCTTGTATAGACTTGATAAGAGTTTTTTCCCCTCTGTTTTAATTTCTCCTTCTCTGCTGTTCCTCCTGAACAGAAAAGCTCAGAAGTGCTGCTGACCTGGTGCCTTTCTTAGCACTCCTGGTCAGGATTCCCATGCAAAGCTCTGTGCTGTTGCATGTTCTCCTTTCTTGGGCAGCACTTTGAGGTACGAGCAAGCAACTGCAACTACTTGCTATGGTTCTCTTTTCTTCAAGCGTTTTCATCTCAGAAAACAGTTTATTTTGTTGCTGGTTGTGCCCTGCTTTCCAATAGCACGTCTGAATCCAGACAGCAGAGAACATGTTTCGTGGAGCCCAGCTGAGCGTGAGGTATTTATGAGTGTGGGCTGTACTTTAGTCTTTCACCCAACCTGTGATAACACTGGTGTGGAAATGGCACTTTGCTCCACGTGTGCAGTGAGTCAGGAAGGGAAGCATGGCCAGGGAGGTCTCTTGAACTCCTGACTGTAGCTGATTTGGAAGTAGTTTCATTTTCTGGCAAATGAAACGTGGCCACGGGGCGTGCTCACTGGATGGAAGAATTTGGCTTTGTTTGTCACATTGACGTGGATTTTCTTATGGCTATAAATACCTTGTAAGAGACAGGAGTGTTTTAAGGTTAGTTCCTGGAAATACTTGCCTGCTCTCTTATTTGTGGCATTTCTTTGATTCAGTGGGGCAGTCAGCAAGCTGGTGTGTAGCTATTGGGGTAAGGCTGGCCCTTATGTATGTCTACTGCTGCCTTGGGCTTCTCTGGGCGCAGTGGGGAGCAGAATCACAGAATCTTCATGGTTGGAAGGGACCTTTGAGATCATCGAGTCCAACCACACACAAAAGGAAATATCATCCACAACTTGGAGACTGCTGAAGCTATCAGTTGCAGCTTTATGGAAATAGAAGCTTAAAAGGCTGTAGAAAGTTCAGGTCCCAAGTTCAAGTTCTTCTGCAAGATTTGAAGTCATACTGATTTACGGCAGCGGTTTCGGTTTCTGACCAGCATCTGCTGAAGTTTGGGAAGTACCTGGGAGTCTTGAAAATGCTTTAACAAGTGTCATTCAAAACCTTCCTGTAGATACCATTCCAGTTGGAAAAAGCACCATCCTTTGAGCCCCGCTCATTGTATTCCAGGAGCTTGTTTAGCTCTCCCAGCAGAAAGAACTTCCTTGCAGGTGTTGAGTTGGTTGCATCCCCATTGGGAGAGGAATGTCCATATGACCACACTGGTATCATTGCCCTGCAGAGGCTTTTAACTGTAGGCAAACCTCAGGGCACCAGGAAAACTGAACTTCAGTGGATGTGTGCAACACTATTATATGTGGAGTGACTCACATGTGCAAAATTTTGCCTCAAAGGATGTTTAAAAGGGGCTATTAAGAATGACCTGTTGGCAGGCCTTGGTGTAGCTCAGCTCTTCACACATGAATCTGGGTGCTGGGCCCTTCTGAACAGTTTTCCTGATCCACCACCATGTTGTGGGATTACGGTGGTGGATCTGGAAGAGCGTGATCAAGAGCAAGGCTGGATTTCAGTCTGCAGGCACAATGTGTTTACTGCCTCCCAGCTCTTCTTCGCTTCGGGAAGGGACTGTACCCACTGACACAGCTGCACACCATACGTTCCTCGTGTTTCTTTTTATTTCTGACAGCAACAAGGAGTGAGGATTTTTGTTATGCTGTACAAAGAGGTGGAGCTTGCCCTAGGGATCAACAGCGAATACAGCAAGCGGACGCTCATGCACCTCCATCCCAACATTAAGGTAATTGCGTGTGGGGCAGTGATGAGGGACATTTGCATTCGTTCACTCTTGATAGCGAGTGCTGACCCCTCAGGGTATTTAGGTGTGAGCTGGAAAAAACCAATGTGGGGCAGTGATGAGGGACATTTGCATTCATTCACTCTTGATAGCAAGTGCTGACCCCTCAGTGTATTTAGGTGTGAGCTGGAAAAAAACAGCAATTCCCACCATTGCAGTGGGAAGAGCCTGAGAATATGAGTATCATCCATACAGTGATTACCACATCTGGCAACTTCATTTCTTTAGGTTATAATTGAACATAAAATTGCTTATTTAGACTTGCCAAAGCAACTATTCATCTAATTCACAAGAAACATATTTCATGTGACAAGTTAATGGGGTTACATCAAATGGAAAATTACAATTTGAGAATGTTGTCACATTTCAGGATTTCTGTTCCTATATAGATGACGCGAGTCAACACTGGATGTTTAATGTTCCTGTGAAATGAACGTGAATGAATGTAAATGAACAGCATTGGGCTGTCCTGTGCCGTTACGCTGCTGCTCTGCCACCAAGCAGAAAATGAGTTGTGGCATATGAACCAGTAGATAAGGCCAGATCCAGTCTTTTGAAATTAGAGACGAGATATATATATATATTTTAATGAGGAAGAAGATATATGTTACTCATTAAGGTGACTAGCAAACTGCTAGAATAATAGATTTATTGTCACTTGATCAGTTGTCACGGTGGAGGGAAGCTTCCATTCACCATCATCCTTGCAGCAGGACTGGAAGGAGTAACTGGAAGATCCGTGCTAGCTGTGTAACGGGTTTTGGGGATCAGCCATGTGGAATTCTGTAGCTTTTTCCCCAGGAAGCTGGTCTAATGGCTCTCCTCTAAAATGAAAAAATAAAACTATATACTGTTTGCTTGGATATAGAAGTTGCTTTGCCATAAACACATGTCAGAAAAGAATCTCATAAACAAATGTCAAACAACTTGCTGATTTTAAATGCGGGGAAAAAAACAGCCGACTTCTCATTTCGCTTATGTAGTGACAACATCCGAAGTAGTGAGTCAGATCACCAATATGTTGTTTTCTTTCAGAGCAGGCTCTGTGTTTGAAAGCTCAGTTATTAGAGCTCTACTGAAAGCATGATTTTGTTTGTTGAAACAGTTTCCTTGACTCTAGTCCTCTTTTGAGCACTGTTGTTATAAGCCTGACCTGTCCCAACATGAGTAACCGTTGCCGCTCGGAAATACCCACGTCGTGGGGAAACACCTCCTTGCCAGTGAGGCTGAGCCCAACTCGGGAGGGATCATGGAGCTTCTGCAGGGAGGCATCTTCTAAAAACCTCCAGTGCTTTCCCCATCATTCCCAGCAGCCAAAAAGAAAAAGCTGGGCAGCTCTCTGGATGGAGGTGGAAACTGGGCAATGAGACTGAGCTTGAGCGCTGGTTCTTTCCCCAGGTGATGAGACACCCAGACCACGTGTCCTCCTCTGTGTACCTCTGGGCCCACCACGAGAAGCTTGTCATCGTTGACCAGTCGGTGGCATTTGTGGGTGGCATCGACTTGGCCTACGGCAGGTGGGACGATGACGAGCATCGCCTGACTGACGTGGGCAGCGTGAAACGAATGACGGCCGTGAAGTCAGTGTCCACGACCAACCTGGCAGTAAGCTTGGTCCAGCTGGTGGCCACCTTCAACATCTACGCATCGCGTTTGTGGTGGGGATGGTCAAGCTGTGTCCATTTCTAAGCATGGGGTTGGGTTTAGGAGATTTAAAGAAGAATAGTAATGGGAAGGAGGCGGTATGTGAGCATCGAATGATTCTTTAGGGCTAGATCCTGACCAGCCCTTGCTAGGGCATGGAGATAGATGGTGGGGTTCCCCCTGGAGCTTGGAGCAGCAGTTACAACATGGAGGTTATGTTCTTGATAAACTAGAAATGCACAGTAGGCACTCAGAGTGCTCTGAGCTTCTGGATAATCGGCCCCTTGCTTGCTGAGCTTTCTGCTAACCTGGTTCTGTGTGCATCCAGAGATCTCTAAAAAATTTAGAGAGGGGTAAATTTATGAGAATTTCAAGGGGAGTAATAATCTGGAAAAAACTTACGGGGCAGAAGAATGTACTGCTAGCACTAACATGTTTTTCTGTTGAGCCCCTCCTCAGTACAGACTTTCTCCCTCAAAAGCCTTGGTAGCTCCCACCAAAGTGTGTGTTTGTCACAGAGCAAAGTTTGGCTCGTGGTCATTTCTGGGCATTGATAAGCACAGTCACCTGTAATTAAAGGGGAACCTGTTCCATACATCACCTGCAGCAACGTCTTGTGTCTCTTAAGTCTGCAGCAGAGTCGTCTGAACATGTCCCCCTGCAGCTGCAAGCTCTGTCCCCAGAAAGCCACATTTTCCAGAGAAATGCGGACGATGCGCCGGACGTAGCAAAAATGAAAGGAGTTGGAAAATCCAAAAAGTTTTCCAAGTTTAGTATTTACAAGCATCTCCATAAACACAGCATGCACCACGCCGACAGCGTCAGCAGCATCGACAGTGAATCAAGTAAGTAATCTTTTTTCGACTAAACAACATATATAAAGCGTGTGCGGAGGTGGGTGTGTGGGTGGGTGTACATGCAGATTCACAGCATTTCTAGGGTAATGTGTTCTTTTGTAAGGAAGGAAAGTTGATGAATTTCTTAACGATCAGAGTAATAACTGTGTGTAGTCAATATGCAAATTTGAGTCACTGCGAAGGATACGAGGAAAGTTTTAAGTGGATTTTGCTTTTAGTTAATTTAGCAATTGTCGTGAGCCATCAGAGGATGCGATATGGTGTATGTGGTACTTCATGGTTATAGTGCTGGAAACTTTTTGTTCTGCAAGGAAGAACTTAATCTTCCATTTTTCAACTAGTATTTATTATAACAGGCTAAACAGTTTCTGAATGTGGTTGTCCCCTCTCACAGGCTGATGTTACCTAGGTTTAAATCAGTTCACTTAAATGGAAATATTCCCTAGAAAGGAGAGATTATTCAACAGCTGAATATTTGAATGCAGCTTTTAATTCATTATAACTGGGTTCAAAGCTAAAATTGCAAGGATCAGCTTGACATTTGTTCTAGCATGGAGTCCTTCCTGAAATCTGTTCCTGAAGCCTCAGCTTCTGAAGCTGTGTATTGCTCACACTGGGAACTTACTGGAGTTTCCATCACTCCCTGCAGAACTTCCTCCTGCCTCTGGCTGGAGGACACCTAATGGAGCATCGTTGGCCTTTGTTTCAGTCAGCTCAGGACACAGCCATGGCTTTGCTACTTCAATACATCTGTTCAGATTAAAACCAGTTGAGTCTTTAATTTGGTCCTTTGCCTGTTGGTCACTTGTAGCTTCAGCAAATTGATGTCTCTCTTGAGCTCCTGTCGTTCAAGGTATCTTCAGAGAGGACCAGGCACCAGCGTTAGCACAAGTGGAGACATGTCTTTTTTTTTGCCATAAATAGAGCATCTTGACTTTCTGCAGGTTACTGTAACCCCACTAGAAGTCAACCGAATATAATCCAGAGTTTAAAGCCCCATCTGAAAATGTTCCATCACCACACTGAATCCAAACCGGGGCTCGCTGAGCCTCAGGAGGGTAAGTGGAGGAAGGCAGAGATGCAGACCTCTTCAGGCTTTGGCTGCCCGTGTTTTTGCAGTGTAACAATGGTGAGAGTTAGGGTGGGTGCCAGGATCAGCCTTCGCTGCTTGTTGTTCTCTCAGCATCCTTAGCACTCTTCTGAGGACATCGTGGCAGAAAAGCCTTCTCCAGAAGCTTCAAAAACTGCAGCATAAATAAATAAATTTTTAAAAAAAACAACAACAAAAAACAAACCCACAAAAAAACCCCTAAAACAACAAAAACTGGAATGAAAAAACCAAAGACATCTGCAATAACGACAGCAGGGAACAGTTGAGGAAATAGCTCTGCTTCTGATATATGATTATTTCAGCAATTCTTGTAAAGGAAAGGGCTTGTGACTGGGATTGGGAACTTCTGCATTGAGTATTTTAAAATAAGCCTAATGCCAGAAGACAAATGCAAGCAGAGACAGGAAACAGCAAAGTGGCTGCTGCAAGACCTATGTTTGGATGAAGACTTGGGGAGGTCTCCCTTTTTGTCCCTTATTAAAGTCACTGAAAGCATACTCCATTGAGAAAGGAGTTGGGTGGTTATGAGGACTGAGCTCTTCTGATCTCTGGACCAACGGTGGAGGGACCTGTTTAAGTACTTCACTGAGATGCCTTTGAGTTCTGGTACAGGGCAAGGAGCAGTTCTTCAGCATATTCCTCTTGCTAATGTCTTCCTCTAAGGCATTAATTGCCAATTATAAAATACTACTTACAAAGTAGGGGCAGATGACAATGAAGAGATGCATTTGCATCATGGAAATGAAGTGCAGTCTCCCCTGTGGTCACCTCAAGCTCGTTTGTGGGTTTGTGTTCAGCCATGGAAGTTCAGTACATGAAGTGTGCTTCGGCCAGACGGTGTGTCCCATGTCCCACCCATTCCAGCATGCAGAGTCAGCAGTTCCCCAGCTCCACCTGGACTCTCACTAGAAGCTCAAGCTTCCCAAGGCAGCTGTGGTCCATACGTGTTGCATGGCATTTTTGGCATGGCTTGGCTCTGCTCGGCTCGGTGGGGTTACAGCAGGGCTTGCTTCATCTAAATCCATCTTGTTGCACTGCTGATAACGTGTATTTTGTTGATGTGTATTTTGTTGACCGTTGAAAGGGGGTTCTTTGCATGCTAAGGGGTTTTCGTGGTTACCTGGTGATGTGGTTGGGTTAGAAGACTTCTGCTGTTGGTGTGTTACTGTGTAATTATCACACTTGCATTGGGTACAGTGGCTGAAGGCTGCTCTCAGGGTCAGGAAATAGCGCTAGTTAAATGTTTATGCTCTAACCAACATCTTTGGTTTTCTTAGAAGAGAGGAAAAAGAGTTCACTCTGCACCCAAAATACGTGCTGTAGAGCTGTGGTCCTGTTAGGAGGGAATATCTCTGTCTACACAATACTTCAGACCATTTTAAATCACCCTCAACTTAGAATTCGGGATCCATTTGTTCAACATGTATCTGTCTACACAATACTTCAGACCATTTTAAGTCACCCTCAATTTAGAATTCGGGATCCATTTGTCCAACATCTAAATTGTATCAAAAGATGACATTGTTATTTGGAAAAACAAAATCAAACAAACAAACCCCGCAGTACTTAATGGGGGAACATGAGCTTTTTAATCATCTTGTTCTAGTTAATAAAGACTGGCTTTTGTTAGAGGAGATACACCCTGTTACAGAGGCAAAATAATACACCCTCTAGCAGAGAAGTCGGAATTAGTTCATTAGGATTCTAAAATATATTAAGAAGATAATAAATGTGGTGTTCCTGTACGTATATCCACCAAGGTCAGTCGCAGCTGGGAGTGGGCTGCCACATGGAAATATTTAGTTGCCATAGGACTGTGGAAAGACAAATGCTTATAGGGTGATTTTTGTAGTCCAATGTAGAGAGAATTCAGCCTCTGCTGAATTCTCTATATAACCTGTCCTGATTGTGTAACAAATACTAAATTAGGGAAGAAAAAAAAACTAACCTGCATCCTTTGAAAGCCCCAGGAAGACTAGGGAGAAAATAGCTTCAGCCAAGGGGGACGGGCAAACGCCACCAATGCTTACCCGTGGTAGTCAGTCTCACCAGGGTTATGTCATGGACAGCCTTGACTTTGGAGTGTGTGTTTTTGTTGTCTTGTTTGCCTGTGACAGATAAAGGATCCATCCGCAGCTTGAAGACGGGTGTTGGGGAGCTGCTTGGGGAAACCAGGTTCTGGCACGGAAAAGACTATTGCAACTTTGTCTTTAAAGACTGGGTTCAGCTTGACAAACCTTTTGCTGGTAAGTGCCTTTGCACCCTGGAAGTCATTACATTCCCCCAAGCCTCCTTCCACATCTTTTCAGTCTCAAAACGTATTTTTTTCCTGCTTCTGAGCCAGAGGTAATGAGGTTATTTTGGTTTGGCTGCTAGAAAGAAGCAGCAAAACTCCCCTTGAGAGGTTCTAGGGCCAATTATACAGTTACGGTCCATGGACTTGGACTGTGGGCAATTGCATGATAATTCATCTGCACAGCGCTCAGCGCTGTGTCCTGGAAGATTTGGTTTGAGAAGGGAGATGCTGGGCTTCTCCATATTCATGTCCTTTGTGCTTTCCTGTCCCGTAGACTTCATTGACAGATACACCACCCCGAGGATGCCCTGGCATGACATCTCCTCCGTGGTGCATGGCAAAGCGGCACGTGATGTGGCCCGACACTTCATCCAGCGCTGGAACTTCACCAAGGTGGGGTGTGGGCATCACTGCTGGGGAAACAGGAATAAATACATCCCCTGCCTCATCCTTGGTGGTTTTTTTATGTTATTCTCCTATCTTGTAACCTCTTCAAGGATTTTTTTTTAAATTTTTTTCCCCTGAGCAGATTATGAAGCCCAAATACCGGTCCCTGTCCTACCCGTTCCTGTTGCCAAAATCTCAGCAAACTGCTAACGAGTTGAAGTATCAGGTGCCCGAGGCTGTTCATGCCACAGTCCAGGTGGGTGTTGATGTTCTCCTGCTCACATACTCATAGGAGAGCTTGTTTTGCATCTTTCCAGCAGGAAGTGTTGATGCCTGACAGACCAACCCTCTGCAGAACTTGAGATTAAGATGAAAATAAGATGAATATAAGATGAAAAAACTCTTATTTGATTTATCTCATGGCATAGGTGGTAAGATCCTCAATTACAATGCAACTCTTTCAGTAGAGATGCATTATCATAGACTAGTTAGAGTTGGAAGGGACCTTAAAGACCATTGAGTTCCAAGCCCCCTACCCTGGGCAGGAACACCTCCCACTAGAGCAGGTTGCTCAATTAATTTATAGCTCCATCTTTGAGGTAGGAGGACAAAGCTGTATGCAGCACTCAAGTTGTGGGAACACCATGACTTTGTATAGCTGTGTAATTTTTTCTGCTGCTCTTCTCCTAATGCCTAACATTTGGTTTTTTTATGTTTTGGGAAAGCCTAATGGGTTGAAGTTGCCCACTTAATATTAATCTCAGATCTTTAGAGCAGTCTGCCAGGTTCCTGACGCCTCGCCCAGTGGTCAGCTGGAGCCCAGCCTTAAGTAGTCTCGGGGCTGTTGCTTTCTGCATTGAATTTCATCTTCATTTTATTACGCAGCCACTCAGCCCTGTGGGTCCTCTGCAGTTCTGCACAGTCAGCCCACAGTCTCGTTTGTGACAATCATCCTCACAGTCATAATTACCAAGATACCTATATATAAAAACCCAGTTAGCTATATCGAGCGCGTATATTGAATACTACTGTTACCCAGCAGAAACATGGACCTGTTGAAGAATAAAACGTCAAAATAGTTATGCTGAAGCAGCAAAACAATTGTGGGGCTCTGTGGATGAAAGATGTATGAAATAAGAGCAATTAGACCAAAAGCAGGAAAAAAATGCATGCCTTTGCTCTGTGTAAGGAGCGGTCCACCCAGATGACAGCAGCGCTTGGGGGAGCTTTGTGTAAGAAGATGCATTTTTCTGGGTTTTTGGGTTGCCAGGGCATTGTCTGCTCCTCCCCGCCTGGTGTGGGGGATCTCATGTCAGGGATCTCGGGCGTTTTACATCAGCCTCCAAAACAATGCTCGCAGCTTGTTGAGAAATAGTCTCACTTCAGGCATCGTTCCTGCTTCCCTGTGGCTGCAAATGCCTCCCCGGTTGTGTGCGTGACACCAGCTTTTTGGGAAACTTTCTTCCCATGGAAGTGAGGGGGTTTGTGTCCCCTGAGCGCACTCCAACCACAAAATAAGCCTCAGCTTCTAAATCATGGGGTTTGCTGTCACAAAAAGTGAAGTTCTGCTGATCACAGAACTGGAAGCAGTTCCCAAAGGAGAAACTAAAGCAAGCAGAGTCTGGGTCCAACTTCCTTTCAGTCTGTCCTGCAGAGCTGCTGGCTCAGGGCATCAGCCTGTGGGAGAGGAGGATGAAGCCCAAATGGTGACTGCTAACACCACAAACACCAGTGCTGAGTGATGGGGCAACTGGTTAAAAACTCATCACAGCGATGCTGTTCCTGCTGATGGGTTCCAGGAAATGAGGGGCTGTTCTCAGCAATGCCAGAAACAGCAAAAAGAGAGCAGGTTTGTCTTGTAAATTATTCACTTGAAACCACCTTGCTCATCTCTAATTTATGACAAATTGCAGCTTTTAGAGACCTGCCAGGTTTCTCCAGCCCCGTGTATGGCCAGATAAATAAAACTATATGCTGTTAGGCTGAAAACATGTTGCCCGATTCCCGGTGTGAGGGAAGGCTGTGGGGGAAGATGGTTTGAAGCACCCAAGCACGATGGAAGAGGTGAAGATGACTCCCCTGCCCAGCCTGGTGCACCCTGCTTGGGTGCAGGTCCCTTGGCCCCAGGCTGCTTGCAGCTGGGTGACAATCTTGGGATGATCTCCTCAAGCTCCGAGCCATGGTTTTGCGTGCACACACTGTAATTTTGGCTGTCTCCTCCATAATGCCCATGCTGGCCTGGTTTCCATCGATCCCAGGATGACACAAGTGCCTTGAGCATCCCTGAAGTCCCCACTGTGGGTCGGGGAGCGGCTTGGGCTCTCCTCCTGATGAAGGTTTCAGATTTGGCTACTGCAGGGGTGGGGAGAGGGTAGGTAGGACACCCCCAGCTTGGATCTGAACCCCATCCTTCTCCAGGTTGCCTTTTCCTGGGGGTCCTGGGGTGAGCATCAGGGTGTCCATCGGGGTGTCCCTGGGTGGCTCCTCCTTCCCTGCAGCCACCAGAATATCAGCCTCTGGCCTGTCCCATACATTAGTTTCAGACCAGAGAGCTGCAGGTGCTCACATCCTCTTTCAGTGGTATAGTCCCATGCAGAAATAAGCAGATACCCTAAAAATCTTTCACCAACCTTTTTGTCCAGAATAACTACTGTTCTTCTTCTTCTTGGCATTGGATCCTGTGCTGGCCACCAGCCATACCCATGTTAGCCCCATTTTGCTGCTTTGTAAGGGCTTTATAGGCAGAAATGATGGCCCCGAGGTAAAATCCAGCATCCAGTGGCCTGTCCCTGGCTGTGGGATGATTGAAGAAAAGCCTGGCTGCCAGTTTTCTTGTTTCTGAGCTAGTTTGCAAATCTGTCTTCAATTTGGGGGCAGATCAGAGGAAGGGCGAACACAAAGGATCTGTGGGGATGGCAGCGTTGCCGCAAGCCCCAGCCCCTGACCTGTCAGCAGCAGCTTCTGACCTCCTCGTACCATCTGGTTTTGCTCTCCTTTCTCAGAGGAGAGGAGCAGGAGGGCGTTCTGGGCCGGGTGGGGATGGCACTGACAGGGGCTTTCCCCTGGGCAGGGAGGGTGATGGCAGCCTGGGTGGGAACCCCTGCGGAGGTACGGGCTGGGAGGAGGGAGGAAAGGAGCCTCTCGGCTCAGACGTGGTCCCTCAGCCTCTTTGGTCTGAGGTTTCGGGGCTTTGCTTGCAATAACGATGTGATTGCACGTTGATTTTGCAAGAGTCAAACAACCGTCTGCCAAGGTGGTTTTTTTTCCTTCTATTTCCCTTCCAGAGTCTGCAGTTATCAGCCAAAGCCAGCGCCGCAAAAGATGTGACGTGGCGAGGCAATATCCAGCTCCTGATGTAAATACAATGAAAATTTAATGCTCTGGCAATGGCTAATGCCTTTGTCTCTTTGAAGTCTGCGTGAGAGCTTGCATTGTTCAGGATTTATGCACTAGCCCACAGCAAACATCAAATTTATTGCTATTGTCTTGGTTAAAGAAGTTAAAGAGATGACAATGCCTGACAAGAGCTGCTATTGAGGGACTGGAGGGAGAGGAGGGAAGGAGGATGAAGACGCCAGCTCTGGTTGGTAGGGGCTCATGAGGCCTTTTTTCCCTGGTAGAACAGGTTGGGTTTAAACCAGCTCACTTTAAATGCTCCGACAGGAACGGTGAGGTGTCCAGGCGTGAGAGATGAAGCACCAGTGATGAGGGAAGGTCTGTATAGGAAACTAATAGGGTTGTTATTTGTCTTTGAGTGCTGCAACCACAGCACAGTGGTTCCCATGGGGTGTGTATTGCACCCACACAGCGCTGCTGTCAGCGGCTGTGAAGCCACCAACCTCGGTGACCTTGTCCTGCCACCTCCTTGCCTGTGGCTGTGGAGCTGCACCATGGTCTGTGCTGGCCACTGAAGTGATCTGGGTTAAAAATGCCTTTATTTTAGAGGAGGTCCAAGCTGGAACACCTTGCACCCATTCTGCTGCCCTGGCCAGCATCTTCTGACACTTCTTCTTCCCTCCACGTGTAGATTTGAGGTTGTACCTGACGTAAGCTTTTTGGGTGATGCTGAGCCAACTTCTTAGGGTGAATGGTGGAAGGGTGAGGGCAGAAGGGTGGTGGTCCTGAACCAGTGGGCAGCCTGGTGTGGGGCAGAGAGCTAGGGTGCTGGCATGTGGAGGGGTGAAGAGGAAGGCAGGGAAGAGCAGGAGGATGATGCCATGGGGCTGGAAAGGGATGGTCCTGAGTGATGGGTCCGTTGCGTCAGGTGGGATCCCCGATTTGGAATAAACTTGTCTCTGGGTAGTAAAGTTGTCTTTCAAAGCGGGGGCTTTGGTGGTATCAAGTTCCTGATTCAGAGAAGGACATTTATTCCTTGTCCCCAGGAGTTTCAGCTGTTGCTGCTGTAAATGAGGGTGTGGAGGTTACTTTGCTCAGTGCAGGGCTCAGCAGCTTATCTGGAAAAGAGAAGGGGCTCTTTGGAGCATGGACAAAGTTAACTAGCAAAAAAAAAAAAGATAATTAAATATCAGTACTTCGTACACTAGGAAGCTGCAATCTGCAGCTTTCTGAAGTGCAATTCCAGATTGCATTTGCTGGAGGTCTCCAGCCCACGGGGACATTATCTGTGGCCCTAGGTTTTCACCTGGGGAGGGGTGAAGAACAGGACAGACGGGACAGCGTGGTTGCTCATTGCTGGCTGTGCCAGTGAGGGTGGAAAGGCTGTGGGCTCCTGTCCAGGCTGCAGCCTGAGCTGTGTTTAGGAAGAATTGGCATGCTTTCTACCTGGAAAAGCTGTTTTTTCTGCCCTTATTAATGCAAACATGAGATTTTGTTCAGGAGCTCTGGCTGCTGTGGTGCTCGGTGGGGTGTCAGCAGTGCCCAGCCTGGGGTGTGTTAAAACCCCAGGGGCAGCATCACCTTGTGGAGGTTTATGCAGAGGACAGCTGTTTGGGATCATTCAGCATCCAGGCTGGCTCCCTCACTCAAGCATCCATAACCTCAACATTCATTTTGGGGGCCACACAGGAGAGTTGTCCAGGCTGGCTCCCTCACTCAAGCATCCATGACCTCAACATTCATTTTGGGGGGGCACACAGGATCTGTTTTTCAGTGACCTGTGGGAGAAAGCTCCCTCTGTCCAGGGGAAGGAATTAGCTCAGGAGTCATGACCCTCAGTGCCACCTCCAGAGATGCCCTGGAGACCAGAGAACTGGTTGGTTCCAGTTAGCGGTTGCAGCACCTGGGCCAAATGGCCAAGTCCTTATTTACTGTTACAATACTGGTAATTAATTAGCCTTTGAAAGTCCTCACCCATGCCACGGCCAGCAGCTTGCTTTGATGGTGGATGGTGATGACATTGTGACAGCAGAGCTCAGGGTACCAGGGATGTCAGAGGGACAGGGAGAGTAACATGGAGCAGAGCAGAAGCTGGATGTGGACAATTAAAAGAATTCCATGGGAGGGATTTCCAGAGAAAAACGTGGTTGAGCCCTGGAAGAGATCAGGATTCTGCACTTACTGACATATACATTTCACAGATCCTCAGCACTTGGGTCTTGTCCTGTGTGTGACTGGTTCCCGAGTGCCGTATTGAGATATTTTAAGGCTGTTGTTTCAATTTGTCTTGACAATGTTTAAAGACAGAGGTTAATCATGAGGAATTATTTCCCCTGAGCACGTACCCTGCCCACACTTAATTAAAAACTACATTTCTGTCTAGGAAAACGTCACTCCGGGCATAGCGTGGTTGCTTATTGACTCAAAGTGGGAGATGCCACGGCATCTCTGGCCATCAGGGATGGGAAGCTGTCTGCTGTGAGGCTCTCCCAGCCTGGCCCAGAGCACCAACAAAGGTTGTTTCTCAGGTTGCTTTGGCTCCCTTGCACAGGAATTGCAGGAGACGGGGAGAATGTGACCCGAGGGTTTCGCAGTATCTGCTTCAAATGTGGATTTCCAGTAAAAATTAATAAATACACACGGGCGGCTGGACTGCTATGGATTTTAGAAGTCATAGCGTCAAAAATCGGGTGGCTTGTGTGAGGATTTGGCAGAAGAAATGAGTGACCCTGGAGTGCTCAGGACAAAGACATGGCCCGTGTTATCGGGCTGACTGCATGTAATTATGTATTGCCTGTTTGTGGGAAAAACACATCGCCCCAGCTGGAGACCAGCTCTAGAAAGTGCTGGAGAGGAGATCACTGATTTGGATGCACGCCCCTAAAGCCTGGAAATTGAGGTTGTTTTAAAAGCATTTTATCATAAGACCTTAAGCAAGAAGGAGACTTCTGTGCTGCTCCTCTTGCAGCTGGAGCTGCTCAGGTGGGAGGGGGCAACAACAGGACAGGGCACTTAGGTTTTTAATCAAAGCATTACTAAGCATTAATACTATTTCTGGCATCTTTTCTCCTTATTACAAATGCAATACAAATCATAAGTGCTGCACGTATTACCTTATTTAGTGAAATCATGACAGGCCAGCGGTGCTGGGGAAGAGCATCACCTCTGAAGTCATTCCGTTGGGAAGCTGTGCCATCCTGGGAGAGGTGGGAGAGACCTGAAGGTGTTGATCTCTTGCTTTCCAGGTGATCCGTTCTGCTGCTGACTGGTCGGCCGGCATTAAATACCACGAGGAGTCCATCCACAACGCCTACGTCAGCGTGATCGAGAACAGCAAGCACTACCTCTACATCGAAGTGAGTGGCAATGAGGGAAAGCAGGAGGGTCGTGATGCTCTGGGCATGGGTCATGGCCATCAGGAGGGTCATTCTACTTCCTGAGGTCTGGTCTTAGTTTTTTTGGTGAATTTAGACACAGATGGATATTAACACAGAACCTGCTCTGAATTTTTGGGGCTGTTTCCGTTGGCTTCAGTGGTCTTTGGACCAGGCTGAATTTTTGGGGCTGTTTCTGTTGGCTTCAGTGGTCTTTGGACCAGGCTGATGGGTATGTATCCTGATAGCCTTATGACCACGAGGTGGGGAAAAAGGTAGACCTCTCCTTTATATGCCTCTTTGCAAAATTGCCTTCATCTTCCATGGCCTGTGCAATAGTTTTTCTGTCCCCTCCATGGCTTTGCAGTGTCCCCTGCCTATGCCTGAGCCTCCCACTCCCAGGGCTGGGCTGGCATCCATACAGCCTCGAGGTGCAGGAGTCTCCTGTGTCAGAGGGAATCCCAGCACTGACTGAAGAGAGATCCTTGTTCTCCCCTTCTTTCTTTCTTTCTTTTTAACCTCTTGGTAGGATGTTCTTTATGTGAACTTTCTAAAGGAGTGTGATTAATAAGGACTAACTCATTCCCTAAGCAAGCACAGACACACAATAATAATAATTAAATAAAAGGCATCAACTGAAATAGCACAGAAACCCAGCTATCTTCAGTTGCACTCGGTCTGAAATACAGCATGCAAATGGTTTTTTTGTTCCTTGCTGGCAGTGTCTAACAGAAGCTTCGCTTGCTTTTCCGGCAGAACCAGTTTTTTATTAGCTGTGCCGATGACAAAGTTGTCTGGAACAAGGTCGGCGATGCGATTGCTCAGAGGATTCTGAAAGCTCACAGGTAACCTGTCCTTTACAAGGCAATGAAAGTCTTCTGGTGGCATTTATGTGGTGTGGCGTGGCGTAAAATAATATCTTAATGGGCACTACAACAGCTTTTCCAAGGCAGAACTGATGCGGTCAAACGTCTGCTTGCGTTTGCAGCAGGGAGGTTCCTCAGTGGTTTCTTTGCAGCCAGAAAGTGATTTTCTGGACTTACCCTGATGCAAATGTATTTTTAACTGTGGGGCTTGTTTAAAAGCAAGCCCTTTATACTCCGGTTCAGTGACATCTTTGCGCCATAACCAACTGCGTGGTAAGGCGGGTTAATGGGCAAGGAGGTCGAACTGGGATTTGTGGCTTATTTAAATTATCTATAGAGAGGATTGGCTTCAAATAGGGAAAGCAAACACATTTCAAACAAACACAAGGACTGCAGGGTTTAGCTATTGTTTGAACAACTTTTGCTGGTAAGTGCTGGAGGGTGTTTGCGACCTCCAGCCATTGCAAGGGGGCCATCGTTGGTTCCAGGATGGATCAAACCCAGCTGTATTTTAGACACTCCTTTTACTTGAGCGTGCCTAGCCCTTTGTTAACATTAATAGCACAGGTAGTAGCTTGTCTTCACTTTTGATCCTGGACAGCCTTGCTTAAGGTTGCTTTCCTGGAGTCTGTCTTTAAGATAGATATATATCTATGTGTGTGTGTGTCATAGTCTAAAACTGTGTTTATATATGTGTGTGTGTGTGTGTGTGTGTGTCATAGTCTAAAACCGTATCCTGGTCTTGCTGAGCTGATACACAGAAAACTTCCTAAATTTTTCCTTCCATCTCTTGTGTGCTTTTTTTGCCATGCAGGGAGAAGTTTCTTGCAATGACTAGCCTGCAGCTACACTCTCCCCCCATGCAGGGAGAAGTTTCTTGCAATGACTATTTTTTTTCCATATTGTAGTTGCCTGCAGCTACACTCTCCCTGGAGTTGCAGAAATTTCTCTCTCTTTGGCACTTAAGCTCAGAAATTCCCACTTGAGTGAAGACGGGGGTAGGGGCAGGAGCTGTCATGAGCCCAGGCTTTGCTGAGAGGCCCTGTGGAAAGAGGAGCACTGTTCAGACCGGGAGAGCCCGGGTGTTATCTGCCATGCCCTTAACAACAGGGCAGGGAACAGGGTGGAGCTGCTCGTAATCTGTGAGCTGCAATGCAAAGCCTGAATAATTGACATGAGCTAAGGATGACAGGCTGGGGTGGATGATTTTCTAACCCAGGGTTGCTGAGGGGTGGTGCCAGCGCTGTGGAAGAGGGAGGGGAAGCACAGGAAAAAGCAGCGTGATACAACTTGAGTCCTCCAGTAGAACCATGTGTGGTGGGATGGTCCATCTGCCTGAACAGAACAACCCGCAGTGGGGGTAAGGTGCAGGCCAAGCAGCTGGGGATGCTGTTGCTGGTGTTTCCATCTGGTGGGAAGCCAGACCAGCATCTCTCTGGAGGTCCATGTCCCCTTGAAAAGCCATTCTGGATTTTCTACAATTTGCCATTGGCCATTTGGCATTGGCCCTTTGTGTCAGTTGCCTGCTTCTGGCAATGCTGCTGAGGCAGCAGCAAATTCGGCAGGTAACAGGTAATCTGCTAAGATTTTTCCTCTTATATAAAGTTTATATAAAGGGCGTCATTCTGTCCGGACGTCAAAAAGTCTGGTACAAAGGGGAGTCACACAAATTCTTCAGTGACCCATTTTCAGATGCGATGCTCGATTCACTTCTGTATTATTCCAGTTTTATGCCAGTATTATGCCAGCTTAATGCTGATGATTCCTAATGAAATATATCATTCAAAGTCTGCACCTTCCAGAGTGCTCGACATTGCCAAAAATTAAAAGTGCATGGTTTGTCTCTAGTGCTTGTGTTCCAAACTGACCTGGGAAAACAGCAGAGATGACACAAGGATGGTTTAAGTGTAGATTAAGTTCTTTACTTAAGCTTGTACAATTCTCACTCTTCTAGACTAAATATTTTCTACTAATGTAACTAATAACATTTGTTACTTGGTTTCCTCTTTTTTTTTTTTCTCATGGGTGGCTCTTTAATGAATTTAATAAACACTGAGCTTAGACAAACAAGCTGCTTTTTGAGGAGTGCTTTTGTTGATAGATCTTTTTCGTGATACAAAAAGGCTTCGTTTCAAAGTCTCTTGTTGCGTAGGGGTGAGACCTCATTAGCTGTGTCTGAGCTCTGCTCTCAGACTAAAGCTAGTTTATGGTGCATGGCACGGCTTTAAGGAAGCACTGGTTGAAATTCAAGGAAAACAGGTCTTCACCGTCTCCCTACCAGCTCAGATGAAACCCCAATTCTTCATTATTCCCCTGCCCTTAAATCCAAAAGCACAAGTTGTTCGAGAAAGGAATACTTTTAACAAAAACTGGCTCATCTTGAGGCTGCTCCTGAAATGGTTTTGTCCTGGTTAAACTGTGTTTGCCATCTAGTGGCAGCAGCCTTCAATGGAGCATCCTCCTCCTCCTCCTCCTCCGGGGCGCAGGGCAGGGGATTGCCAGTACCCGGGGGTGCCTGGAAAGCCCTGGCAGAGCAGATGCATCTGGCTCTTGTCAGCAAAGAAAACCCAAAGGTGGGTTTTCTTTGAGAAAAGCCCCAGGTAGGGCCACAATAGAAGCTTTTGTTCTGGATCAAATTGCGGTTTGGGTACGGTTTAGTTTGGGGGAACTCTGGAACTGAGTTTTTGTGCGTTGTGATGTGTGGGTGAAATACTGGCTTGTGGCTTTTTCCACCTTTTGTGCTGTTTGTGACTTCTAAAAACCTGGATGTAGTGGGAGCGTCAGGTTAGATTTGGATTTGTCTGCTGGTGATAGCTCTGTAATCTTTGCTGTGGTATGTACCAGTCTGCACCAGTATCGGTGTCACTGGGCTATCGTGATGCTCAAAAGAGCTTTTACAGTGGCAGACACAATCTGCAAAATAATTAACCCATCCTTGCACTTCAGTGAAAAAATGTCTTTCTTTTCCTTTAGCTTGTCTTGTTGTCTGTGAGAGCAAATAATTCCTTCTTCCCCTGGAGGTCACACAGAAAACTTCCTAAATTTTTCCTTCCATCTCTTGTGTGCTTTTTTTGCCATGCAGGGAGAAGTTTCTTGCAATGACTATTTTTTTTCCATATTGTAGTTGCCTGCAGCTACACTCTCCCTGGAGTTGCAGAAATTTCTCTCTCTTTGGCACTTAAGCTCAGAAATTCCCACTTGAGTGAAGACGGGGGTAGGGGCAGGAGCTGTCATGAGCCCAGGCTTTGCTGAGAGGCCCTGTGGAAAGAGGAGCACTGTTCAGACCGGGAGAGCCCGGGTGTTATCTGCCATGCCCTTAACAACAGGGCAGGGAACAGGGTGGAGCTGCTCGTAATCTGTGAGTTGCAATGCAAAGCCTGAATAATTGACATGAGCTAAGGATGACAGGCTGGGGTGGATGATTTTCTAACCCAGGGTTGCTGAGGGGTGGTGCCAGCGCTGTGGAAGAGGGAGGGGAAGCACAGGAAAAAGCAGCGTGATACAACTTGAGTCCTCCAGTAGAACCATGTGTGGTGGGATGGTCCATCTGCCTGAACAGAACAACCCGCAGTGGGGGTAAGGTGCAGGCCAAGCAGCTGGGGATGCTGTTGCTGGTGTTTCCATCTGGTGGGAAGCCAGACCAGCATCTCTCTGGAGGTCCATGTCCCCTTGAAAAGCCACTCTGGATTTCCTACAATTTGCCATTGGCCATTTGGCATTGGCCCTTTGTGTCAGTTGCCTGCTTCTGGCAATGCTGCTGAGGCAGCAGCAAATTCGGCAGGTAACAGGTAATCTGCTAAGATTTTTCCTCTTATATAAAGTTTATATAAAGGGCGTCATTCTGTCCGGACGTCAAAAAGTCTGGTACAAAGGGGAGTCACACAAATTCTTCAGTGACCCATTTTCAGATGCGATGCTCGATTCACTTCTGTATTATTCCAGTTTTATGCCAGTATTATGCCAGCTTAATGCTGATGATTCCTAATGAAATATATCATTCAAAGTCTGCACCTTCCAGAGTGCTCGACATTGCCAAAAATTAAAAGTGCATGGTTTGTCTCTAGTGCTTGTGTTCCAAACTGACCTGGGAAAACAGCAGAGATGACACAAGGATGGTTTAAGTGTAGATTAAGTTCTTTACTTAAGCTTGTACAATTCTCACTCTTCTAGACTAAATATTTTCTACTAATGTAACTAATAACATTTGTTACTTGGTTTCCTCTTTTTTTTTTTTCTCATGGGTGGCTCTTTAATGAATTTAATAAACACTGAGCTTAGACAAACAAGCTGCTTTTTGAGGAGTGCTTTTGTTGATAGATCTTTTTCGTGATACAAAAAGGCTTCGTTTCAAAGTCTCTTGTTGCGTAGGGGTGAGACCTCATTAGCTGTGTCTGAGCTCTGCTCTCAGACTAAAGCTAGTTTATGGTGCATGGCACGGCTTTAAGGAAGCACTGGTTGAAATTCAAGGAAAACAGGTCTTCACCGTCTCCCTACCAGCTCAGATGAAACCCCAATTCTTCATTATTCCCCTGCCCTTAAATCCAAAAGCACAAGTTGTTCGAGAAAGGAATACTTTTAACAAAAACTGGCTCATCTTGAGGCTGCTCCTGAAATGGTTTTGTCCTGGTTAAACTGTGTTTGCCATCTAGTGGCAGCAGCCTTCAATGGAGCATCCTCCTCCTCCTCCTCCGGGGCGCAGGGCAGGGGATTGCCAGTACCCGGGGGTGCCTGGAAAGCCCTGGCAGAGCAGATGCATCTGGCTCTTGTCAGCAAAGAAAACCCAAAGGTGGGTTTTCTTTGAGAAAAGCCCCAGGTAGGGCCACAATAGAAGCTTTTGTTCTGGATCAAATTGCGGTTTGGGTACGGTTTAGTTTGGGGGAACTCTGGAACTGAGTTTTTGTGCGTTGTGATGTGTGGGTGAAATACTGGCTTGTGGCTTTTTCCACCTTTTGTGCTGTTTGTGACTTCTAAAAACCTGGATGTAGTGGGAGCGTCAGGTTAGATTTGGATTTGTCTGCTGGTGATAGCTCTGTAATCTTTGCTGTGGTATGTACCAGTCTGCACCAGTATCGGTGTCGCTGGGCTATCGTGATGCTCAAAAGAGCTTTTACAGTGGCAGACACAATCTGCAAAATAATTAACCCATCCTTGCGCTCCAGTGAAAAAATGTCTTTCTTTTCCTTTAGCTTGAGTATCGGTGGCACTGGGCTATCGCAATGCTCAAAAGAGCTTTTACAGTGGCAGACACAATCTGCAAAATAATTAACCCATCCTTGCGCTCCAGTGAAAAAATGTCTTTCTTTTCCTTTAGCTTGTCTTGTTGTCTGTGAGAGCAAATAATTCCTTCTTCCCCTGGAGGTCACTTGCTGAGGTACTGATGAAAGTGGGGAGAAGAGTTGAAAATGGAAATATTTCACACTTTGCTCCCTTAAAACTTGTTTAGCAGCTTTGGATGGAAACCAAGTTGGTCAGCACAGGGAAAGCGAACCCCCAGGGGAGCTCACCTTGTATGATGCTGTAAAGTTTCCAGGCTAATATTCCCCCCCACTGTCGTTTTCAGGGAAAACAAGCGTTTCCGAGTATACGTGGTGATCCCGCTGCTGCCTGGGTTTGAAGGAGACATTTCCACCGGTGGGGGCAACGCGCTGCAGGCCATAATGCACTTCAACTACAGGTATTTTGAGGGGACACAGCAGGTCTCATGGGAAGGACCAAGGCACAGCAGTGCTGGGTAACTCTGCACTGGAAATGGGGTGCAGAGGAAGGCAAAACGGCCCAAGGCAAGATGGTTTTACTGGAAAACTACTGTGTTATGGTAATATGGCCAGGGCACAGTCAGTCTGTGGAGATTCCAGAGTGAAAATTCCCTTGTCTGCAAGGGTTCTGCTGCACCTCCAGAAGGACAAGTCATGCAGGAGACACAAGCAGAAGGAAACTGGTGCCCAGTGACAGGACAAGAGATATCAGGCACAAACTTGAATATAGGAAGTTCCATCTAAACACGAGGAGGAACTTCTTTACTTGGAGGGTGGCAGAGCCCTGGAAGAGGCTGCCCAGAGAGGTGGTGGAGTCTCCATCTCTAGAGACCTTCAAAACCTGCCTGGACACGCTCCTGTGCAACCTGCTCTGGGTGGACCTGCTCTGGCAGGGGGTTGGACTAGATGATCTCCAGAGGTCCCTTCCAACCCCGTATCATTCTGTGATTCTGTGAAAGCAGCGTGTCTCCCAAACCTGGCCCTTCTGCCTGAGCTTCCTTCTGCCAGAGCAACCATTGGTCTTTTGAAATTGCCCATGGGTGAGTTGGTTGGTTGGTTTTTTTAAATGAGATGCCAGTGGTGGCTTTTCCAGCCCAGCCGTAGTCACCCAGACTCCCTGGCCTGCTGTTCTGCATGTGTTGGCTTTCCTTCGTGGTGTCACTTCACATCCAGACCCTTGGCACAGAGGGTAGCAGCCCTGTTCATAACACATTTACATAACATCACTACAGTGTGCTCTAGAAGGTAGAAATGCTCTTGGGCTCCTGCATGGATTGGTACAAGCTCCTTTAGGAAATGAGCAGTCCTTGCTATATCAACAGTCATTTGGGGAAAAAATGTGTGCTCTGGAAGCACCGTGTTTCTTCTGCTTCCATGGGGTATTTAAGAGGCATCTGTGTTTGCAATTTACCTCGCCCGGTTCTGCTTCAGCATATGCTGTTGCCTGGAGTCGTGGTGGTGCTGACAGCTGCCTACCTTCTTTCCAGGACCATGTGCCGAGGAGAAAACTCCATCCTGGGCCAGCTGAAGGCAGAAGGTAAGAGCTTTATTCCCCTCCTCTGCGTTGCTTCGCCTTGGGTTGCTGCTGTTAGATGGATGTATAATGCAGAAATTGGATTTTTTGGTTTATTAATGTGGGCTTGCTGTGGGTCAGGGTTTCAGGCGTGTGCTATGGGTTGGTGAGCAACCTTCTCCTCCTCCTCATCCCACGGTGAGGTCTGTCAGGTCACCGAGCCGTGGCTGGGTGTCAGAGCTCACACTTGGATGTAGCCCCAATCCGGAGGAGGGGAGGACCCCGGGGAGGAGCACGGCGCGGTTGCAGCTGCTGAGGATCCTGTTATTTGGAAAAAGTCCAGAGCAGGGTCACAATCCTGGGAGCGCTGAGCCCTCTGCCTCCCCCGTGAATCCCACCCTGGGCTTTTTGTTTCTGGCACTCGTTGAACATGGAGAAGGAATAACCTGCCTCAGCAGGAGGCTGTTTCTGAGTTGCTTCCTCACCACGAGGATGAATTTGCTCTGCTGGCAGTCGGAGCACCATGAAAACACCATGAAAACCCACATATCACAAATGTAGGGGTGTACATAATGCCTGATTCGTTCTAGGTCTGCGTGTGTAAATCTGAGCTGCAGGCGAGTACATGAGGACATATTTTCCATTCTGTGCAAGGACAAAGCACCTGCTTCCAGCCTCCTTTCTTGCAGGAGCTGCAGAAGAACAGTTGCACACAGTCCAGAGATTTTAAGATGTTTGGGTCAATTGTGAGCCCTTGCGTTGCTGCACAAGGAGGATTGGGGTCATTTCTCACCAAAGTGGGAAAGGCAGCAGATCAGAGCAGCGCAGAGAACCCACAGCCAGCTTTAAAAGTCTATTTTTAAAGAAACTTATTTCTATTATCTGTTTGTTTATTTTTTTTTAAGTAAAAAATGAGCTGTTATTCATATGGGTCTTTATATAAAGAGGCTCTTTTCTCTTTCTTCTCTTTTCCACCTCCCCTCGTCCCACCGTATTTGTTCTCTTTTCATTTTCAGTTGGAGATAAGTGGATAAACTACATATCGTTCTGTGGACTTCGAACACATGCAGAGCTGGAAGGAAAACTAGTCACAGAGCTCATCTATGTGCACAGCAAACTGCTTATTGCTGATGACAACACAGTTATAATTGGTGAGCCAGGGCAGGGGCTTGCGGGAGGGCTTTGGACCACTCAGTTATACCTGGATTAATCCCATGGTTTCTCTGCCCTCTGCTCAGAGCAGGCTGTGGTGCTGTTTGCTTTTCTATGTTGTGATTATTTTTTTCCTCGTGAAATATTTTGCTGTTTAAAAAAAACCCAACAACAAACTCATAAATTCATCAGGAGGGTAGGTAGGAGGGAGGGAAAGCATTTGGAGGGCTGTCGTTTAATTTGTTTTTCTAAAATTGTTTTAAATCTCTGTGTAACAGTGAAGAGAATCCCAGTGCAGGGAATATTGTCCATCTGTCTTGTATCAAACTCTGCTCTAGCAGGAAGACTTGTGAGACTTGTCATCTGTTCCTTAAAGAACAGAATGTGCCGTAAAATTTGGAAGGTTTGGACAACATGTGTCATTTATCAGCTCCGTTTCCTAAGAATGGGGAAATATGTTATAACAAGTAATAGATTTCATTTCATCTGTTTCTTTTACCATATTTATTATGAGACCACGAAGCAAAGGCAAGACCTCAGGCTCAGAGTCCTGTATTGCAGCAGAAAAGCAGAGGTTTTTGCCTGTTTCTTTAAAGAAACCCTTTCGATCTGTTGTATCAGCAACGAAAACTTTGCCAAAGAATAACTTAATGCCAGATTTTGCAAGACTCAGGATACTCCCCTCCTCCAAAGCAGCAGTTGAGCCTGTAGTCTCAGATGACCCGTGGTTAGTTCTGCTCCTCTGTTACCCTCTCAGGGGTCAGATCCCATCTCCAGCACACAGAGAAGCCCAGAGGTGCTTTTAATATTAAAGCAGGAACAGTGTTGTCGCAACTGTGATGGTCTGGGGGCCTGAGACAGGTCTTCATCTTAGGGGATGACTTTGTAGAGTAGGGTAGATGGTTGGACTCGATGATCCCAAGGGTCTCCTCCAACCTAGACGATTCTATGATTCATTTCTATTTTCCATACCTCCAAGACTGAGGATGGATTTTTGTACAGCAAGTGCATCTGTGCTGGCTGGTGAGGTGGTGGGGAGCCAGTGTCATCCATTTTCCACCCGAGAAAGAGGTGGTGCATGGAAATGAAATGCTAACGGAGCTCTTGGGGTCTGTGTTTTCATGAGGAATCTCTCTGGTCGGGGAAGCTATAGATGGTTCCTCACGGAGATGAGGGATGCAGAGGGTGGTGGGTGGTGATGGGGGGCGTTCAGGAGCATCCCACGCCACGGTGGTGCATTGCTGGTCCTTCCCTTTCCCCCTCACCAGGCTCTGCCAACATCAACGACCGCAGCATGCTGGGCAAGCGGGACAGCGAGATGGCCATCATCGTGCAGGACACCGAGACCGTCCCCTCCGTGATGGACGGGGAGGATTACAATGCTGGCAAGTTTGCCCAGTCCCTCCGGCTGCGGTGCTTCAGGTAGGGGATGCAGGCAGGGCTTGCTCAGCTTTAGCATCATTTAGCATCTTCGTTTAGCATCGTTTAACCCGGAGTTTTGCCCCTGTTTCACTGGTATTAGCCTTTCTCACGCAGCTCCTGTCCTCAGCTCGGCAGCTTGACTTACAAATCATTTTGCAACAGGATTTCTCTAGGAAAGCTCATAAACAAGACAGTGATATTTTGCCTCCAGATCCTGTTTTCACACTCTCTCAATTTTGGGTGATGGTGTCTCTTTCTAATGGAAGTTTCCTCACTCAGAGCAGCCATCTGGCTACAACACGGCCATTTTTTCATTGAGACCTTTTTCTTTTTCCTTGTTTTTTGTTGTTGTTTTTTTTCTCCACCCCGTTTCCCATCTGGACAGTCATTGCACAGAAAAGAAAAAAAAGATAAAATAGGGCAGCATTACGGCTGATGGACTATTGCAGGAGATGGGAGCAGGAGGGCACTGGGAGCACACAGGGTTTGGCAAGTCCCAAGGAAAGTTTTCCTCTCCTGGCATTTCTTAGGAGGGGGAGCACCCCGTGAGCATCAATCCCTTTGTCTTCTCAGGGTTGTCCTTGGCGGCTCCGATCTCAATCCGGAACACCAGGATCCCGTCTGTGACAAATTCTTCAAGGAGGTGTGGATTTCTACAGCAGCTCGCAATGCCACCATCTTCGACAAGGTGAGGAATGCAGCGTCTTTCCCTTCCCTCTTTCACGTGTGGCAGCACCAGATGCCAACTGGAGAAGCAGCACAGGGAAGGCAAGGGCAGCAGGTCCAGCTCCTGGAGGTTGGACCTTCAGAGATGCTTTGAAGGAATGAGTAGTGTCAGTTGCAAGAGCTGTGAAAAAGAAACTGGAGTTTGTGCACCCACAAAGTGTGACAGCAACCCAAGAATCATAGAATGGTTTGGGTTGGAAGGGATCTTAAAGATCATCCAGTTCCATCCAGCCTGCCCTGGGCAGGGACACCTCCCACCAGACCAGGTTGCTCAAAGCTCCATCCAGCCTGGCCTTGAACCCCTCCAGGGATGGGGCAGCCACAGCTTCTCTGGGCAACCTGTTCCAGTGGCTCACCACCCTCACAGCAAAGAATTTCTAATACCTAATCTAAATCTCCCCTCTTTCAATTTAAAACCATTACCCCTTGTCCTGTCACTACAGTTCTGATTTCTCCTTTTATTTGTATCAGCTGTAGCTCCACTGATGGCCATTGAGTACTTTCTGCTTCTACTTGGTCCATAGCGTAACTGGAGTAGAAGCAAATTTTACTTCTGGTTTCTAATGAGCTTTTGCAGCGATCAGAAAAAGCCCCGGAGCTTCCCCTCTGCCCTCTCTACCCGTATCACAGATAGGCACGTACCTCTTCCCTCCCAGTTCTCCAGGCTGTTAATTAAGTCGCTCCCATCCCAGGGAATTTGCATGTTTTGGTCTTTCTCGGGAGCTCTGCATTGCAGTATTTCCCCCGCACCGACGTGCCACTTCTCCTTTCTGTTTTTCTCAGGTTTTTCGATGCCTTCCCAGCGACCAGGTGAATAATTTAACCCAGCTGCGGGATTTCATCAACAAGCCCAAACTGGCAAATGATGATCCTGTGAAAGCAGCAGAAGAACTGAAAAAGATTCGTGGGTTTTTAGTACAATTCCCCTTTCGTTTTCTGGAGGAAGAGTACTTGCTTCCCTCCGTCGGAACGAAGGAGTCCATGGTACCCATGGAGGTTTGGACTTAAGAAGAGGCAGACTGCTGGACATTTTTAAAGTCTGGTTCTCTAGAGACAAGTTGATGGGCGATACAGGATTTTGGAAAGCTTTTTATTGCTAAGGGAAGCAAAACAAAAAAAAGATCTCCACCAAGCTGACGTGCCTTTCGTAAGGATTTTGGTGGAAGAACTTGAAGCAAATCAACACTAGCAAAGGAGAGGAGCAGAAAGACTTGGAAATTACAGCAAATGAGAAGTTTATCCTTTGAGGAGTTACTTCTTTAAGACCTGTTCTGAGCACATAAAGGATGCAGGCCACTTCCTAGGATAGGAAACGCCAGTTGATGTTACTGCTGTGCACCGTGGTTGCGTACGTACCCTGATCATGCTGTGGCTTCACAGGTGTCCCAGGCTGCATGTGCTTTGAAGGCTTTCAGGTGGCTCTCCAGAGTCCCCTCATCACTCCTTCGTACGCCGTCAGAGCACATCACCTACCTTTGGAGCTGTGGGGAAAGGGCTGCTCGGTGCTGCCTCGGGCTGTCCTACCGTCACAGCTTCCCAAGCGAAGGTGTTTCGCTTCTCACATGGGAAGCAAAGCAACAATCTTGTATCAGAATCAGCGTTTTTCAGTCTCTTCTCCCCTCTGGGGGAAAAAAAACCCTTGTTTCTACCACAGCTGGAGCAATCAGTGGTCCTCACGCCCAGCCTGGTGCTGCCTGGCTCTTGGCAAAGGGCAGCCTGGATGGAGCTGGAGGTGCTGGAAACCACCAGGGCTTGCTGGCCTTTGCCAACACACAGAACATCAGTTTGTTCCAGCTGTGTGTGAAGGCTTTTCTCCAGGAGAGGATCAAGGTTTAAACTCAAGCCTTCGCTCTCCAGAGCTGAAGGAAAGCGAAGCTCTGCATGTGATGGGACAGAAACTCCAAAGCCAGCATTGGGCTGAGCTTAGCTCTGTGCTCTGGGTCCTCCACTCATGCATTTCTGGTCCAGTATGTAGGTAGAACTTCCATTTCTAGTCCAGTACGTAGGTAGAACTTTCTCTCCATCTCTTTCCTCCCTATTTAAAGAAGGGAAAGGCCGTTGAGCTAGAGCAGAAGCCGTGCTCAAGCTGAGCTGGCATGTCTCTCTGTAGGTGGGGTGAATGCAAGGGGGAAGGGGAGCAGTTAGCAAAGCCTTGTCTCTGGTCTGCTTTGTTGTTAGACCAGCCACCATCTTGAGCTCAGTCACGCAGGACATGTCTTCCCCAGCACAGGTGAAACTCAGTGTGCCCAGTCCCACTTTCCATTTCTGTAAGACAATTTCCAAAGCTATCGTGCATCTCACTCTGCAGCAAAGCAGCAGTTTGATTCAGCATCCCTGGGAAAAACACTACTGCTCCTGGGTCTGGACCTCGTGTGGTGGGTGCCATCCTAGGTCTTTACACCCTCCTCCATCCTGCAGTGAGCTGTGTCTCCCAATTCCACGTCCAGCTCCAGTCCCAGGAGAGCTTACCCTTGGTGGGTGGCAGTGCCATGTCAAACCATGAGAGATCAGACTGTTAGAAACACCTAACAAGAGTCAGGTGAGGAGAAATAGGGGGCTGAGCTCCTCTGCTGCCACTGTGTCCAGTGGGATGCCTTTGCCAGCTGAGCTCAACCCTGTGCCTGTCTCCTTGGTAAAAAGACCAGGTGAACTAGTGTTTATTTTAGTGCACAAATAAGTTTCTTTTTTTTTGCTTTTTTGTCACTTCCAACAGTCTTACCTCTTTTTCATAGAATCATAGAATGGTTTGGGTTGGAAAGGACCTTAAAGATCATCAGTTCCACCCCCCTGCCCTGGGCAGGGTCACCTCCCACCAGACCTGGTTGCTCAAAGCTCTGTGCAGGCTGGTCTTGAACCCCTCCAGGGATGGGGCAGCCACAACTTCTCTGGGCAACCTGGGCCAGTGTCTCACCAGCCTCACAGGAAAGAATGTCTTCCTAATATCTCATCTAAATCTCCTCTCTCAGTTTAAAACCAATACCCCTCATCCTGTCGTTCCACTCCCTGCTGTACTGGGACGGGATCCCACTGGTTGCCTAGCTGTCCCCAGAACACAGCTGGCACCACGTTTTAGCTGATGGCCTTCTGTGTCTTCAGACCTGTAAACAGGCACTGGGTAATTCTGTTACCTGCTGCATCACCCAAGCAAGAAACAACCCCAGACATCCTTGTGGGGCAGCTGGAGTCTCAGCAGTTTCCACACTGGTTTTCACTCATATTTTGTAGCTGCAATTGCCATTTACACTCCTTCCTGCCTGGTGTATCTGTGGTCTGGTTACTCTGTTGGAAGCCCATGTGCAGCATTTTATGTGATGATCCTTTGGTCCAAGGTGCTGATGTTTTTATCTGGCATGCTGTAAGCAGATAAGTATGTCCCCTTGATATTTTTATTCTTTTTTTTCCCCCCCTTAAAATAATTGACCCAGGGTCACCCCCTGCTGAGCCAGAGCAGTTTGTGCCCCAACCACTTGCAATCAAGAAAGATCAAAGGGGTCTTGTTGTTTCATGTCGGAGCTAGTTCGGAGCTTTTATCTCTGGGTATGTTTTTAGCTGTTTTAGTTTGAACAAAGCTGCTAACTTTAAACGATTATAGCCTGTCAGAGAATCATTGTTAAGTCACTCAGATCTGCATTCATCGTTGAAAAGGAAGCTTTCATCCCCGCCACCCGTACACAGTGAACCTTGAAGAAGTGCAAGACTCCTGTCATCTTCTAAGTGCTCTTATTGTCTCGGTCCCCGTATCAGCAGAGATTCTTATAATTGTTAAATTATCCTTATATTGTCTTTTAAGGTGGTAAGTAGCTAATTACTGGGGCTTCACAACTGCAGTGGCGTTAAGTCCCCCTCTGTCAGGCTGCTTTGGGGTAAAACCACCCAGGTTCTGCACCACTCAGCCCACCCTGTGGTGGCTGCTGGTCCCAAGTGACACAGCAGAGCCACAGAGGAGAGGTCTCACTGACTGAAAAGGTGCTAATTAAGAAGGTCGTTCGTTATTAAAGTAACAGATGGGCCTCACGTTGGCACCCTCTCCAGGAGGAGGTTTCTTTTGGTGGGAACAGAGGAGCCGCGTTGAGCATCCCTTCCCTGCCTTGGTACTAAATTTCCTAATACTGGGAATTTAGTAGGGTTCAAATGCAAGGTGTTCAAGGCAGCAGGGAGAACCCAGAGTCCCCAGGAGCTCGTGGGGCCACCAAACCCCACCGTGGGTACAACACTGCACACCCCAAACATATGATGGGGCTGGAGCCACCTCCAGTGAAGGCACAACTCCTGTTTGCACCCACCAGCTGGCTCCTTGGAGTTTATTTCTTATATTAAGAAGCCTGTGAGGTTGGACACCTGGAGAGGGTTGATTTCTGCACCAGAACAATCACTACTTTGTGGTGATTCGTGCCAGAGTGGGTTTGTTTTTAATACTTTCAAACTGGAGAGGATCGCTGGCAAACACACAGTACTGTAACAAGTGATGTGGGTTCAAGCACTAGCAAACCTGGAAACATGAACTGTTTCTTGGGGCGTTTATTTGTTAGAACTATAGGAAATAAGTTAACTTCTCCCAGGCTCAGACTTTATTTTGTAGTTCAACCTGAGTAGAAACACTTTTTTTTTTTTTCTCCTTTAATTTATTCTTTAACATGTGCCACTTGGAGAACTCGCACTCCTTACCGTATCTTTTTAATATTCTGATATTTTAAAATGTGTGGTTTATTGTGTAGATGTTGGACTGGAAAAATATTTCACTGTAAAATCAATGCATGGTTTTAAAAAAAAAAATGAGGGCTAAGATGTCATCATACGTAAGAACTTTACCTAAAAGTAATTTGTGGGAGAACTACTGCCGTGTTCTGTGGCATATGCAAAGTGCTTGGCTCAGTTTCTGGTCTCTTGGTCTCGGTTTGTTGCCTGACTTGATGTGACCTTTGCTGGATTAAACCCCGAAGACTCTCCTTTTCCTTGCTTTTGATCAGGTTTTGCAACACAATTTTGCAATCCTGGTGCTGTCCCTGGGGGAGACCTCAGTGCAGGTTTTGCCCAGCTGGGACCCCGACATCAATAATTTAAATATCTTTATTCCTTCCAAGGAAGTACCCGTGTACAATCAAGCTCAGACGTGGTTTGCTGCTGTTATTTCAGTGTAACAAATCTTTTGTGCACTCCTGTGAGGACAGTCGGGGGGTTGTAATCCATGGACAGAAGCTGCATTTGGGGGGACGTTGAGATGAAAATGGGAACGGTCCTTGAGGTTAATGCCATTTCCTTCTCCTCCTGCTGAATGTAAAGACCCAAATCCACGCTGGTCTGAACTGACACCCCTCCACCAGCCCCAGAGCTGCTGCCCTGGGTTCCTGGTGGAAAGGACTCTGTCTGGGAGATGCAGTGGTGGCCAAGGTGAAGAGAGCGAGTGGTCTCCAGGCCAGGTGTGCGGGTAGAGGTTGGCATCTCTTGGGTGGCTCTCGCGTTTTGTGCCACTCGTTCTGCTAATTGTTTTGAACAAGCAATCCCTTCTGCACGGCTGAGATCCTGCTGGAACCAGGAGCTTTGCAGAATGGAGGTGCAGACCAGGAACCTAACGCCGTGGCAGTGAATCACATTAAGCCTGCAAAACTGAGGTGTATCCAAGGGGAGCAGACCCACAAACTGTACATCGACCGTTGAATGCGATGATCCTCTTGGGGTTTCTCTTTTTTATTAGTGGTGTTTGTTTTTGTTTTTTTTAATTTCCCTGCCTGCTTTCTTGTTGTATCTTCCCATATTTGTGATCATTCTATTCTTAACCTCCCGGGGTGTTTTCATAAAATCCCCTCCATGTAAATAACTCCGACTTCCCTCTTTCCTGATGCTTGGGAAATGAGGAAAAAAAAAGTGTCAAAAGTCACAGTTCTGGGAATGTTTTGGGGTTGTTTTTTTTTCCTAAATGGTGTCTCTAGCTAAACTAATCAGCTAAAGGAGAGCTTCCACTTGGGGTGCGAGTGCAGGTCTCCGTGCATCTCCGCCTTCCAACGGTGCAGTTGTGAACACTGAATATCCCTTCTGTGAAGGCTGCTGGAATCCAGTTTTGTATCCTTGTTTCTGCTCACCATCTGCTTTTTCCTTTCCACTCCGTTTGTATCTATCTGGTAAATGAATGTCTGCTAATGGACTGCAAATACAACCCATCCTCACGTCGAAACCTTTGGCTTTGGTCTCGTTTCTGCATGTTTTGGGGACTGGGGCAGCATCCTGCTTGTGGGCTGAGTTCTGCCCTTGCCTTGCCCCCAGACATGGTGGGAAAAGGTCTGGAATCGCAATAAAAAGGGCTAGACTTGAGTCATTTTGGGTTTTCCTGGGAGAGAGAAATCGCTGGAGTGAAACAGCATAGAAAGAAGATTGGACGTCTTAAAATAAATAAGTTTTAAAATCCCATTTTAAAGGACTTTTAATAATCCAAAGGTATTATGAAAGGCACAGACAAAAATAGTCTGTCTCCAAAATAGAATTCACTTGCTACTGTCCCTTTTAACTTCCAATAAAGGGAGTTCAGTCTAGAGAGAGGGGAAAAAACAGATTACTGTTGTCCTCCAGGGGGAGAAGAGCTGAACAAAGCAGCAGTGGCGTTTCCAAGCTCTCTTGCAAACTGAAAACATATTAACTTCTCCGTTTCTTAGATTTCATCTCCTTCCTCAAATGCCGAAGGGCTCTCTGCGTCTTCAGAAACGTTCAGACCCAATCTGTGCCCTTGATCAATGCAATAAACCAAGATAAGGGAAGCTGGAGCTCCGGGTGTTGGTAGAAGGCAGGCGGCTGCTGATGGACACCGTCAGCTTCTGCTGCTGCTCCGGCATCCCATGGCTAATTACAGGCTGCCTGCATCCTGCTGACAAGGTCTTGTGGGCAGAGATAACAGCAGACAGGAGCTGGCAGCAGAGTGGGTACGGGGGTGACACAGCTGAGGTTGGTGGCCACCAGTGGCTTTTGCTGGCCAGCACTGATGGATGTTGGTGTGAGCAGTGCAGGAGAGATGGGTTATCTCGATGCAAGCTTGGCTTTAATGTGAACCTAGGAGTGGTCCTCCAGCTAGAGAGTTGGGGTATCCATTTGTAGGAAGGGTCCTCTCCTGGTTTGAGGTTAAAACCAATTTTCTGTTCAGTAATTTCAATGTTCAGTGAAGCCTCTTCTAAGTAACTGAACTCTGGGAAATAACGACATACTTTTCATACAGTGTCCACTTCCAGAGTGGTGAGAGCTGCTGTTCATAGGGAA